ACCAACCAATTATCATTTGGTTATGACTAACATAGCCATGGAAAATCCCAACCATACATGGAGGTTTCGTTCGATGGGAAAAGAATCTATAAATGGGAGAACCATCTATAAATCATCTATGACTAACCATCTGGTTATGACTAACAGTTCGCCATGGTTTTTCGATGGCCCTAATCGAAATAGATGGTTTACCGTTATTAAAAATGGCTGGATCTTTCCATGGCAAACTGTTAGTCATAACCAGATGGTACATGTATGAACGTACATATAGCTACATATACTAATAAAGCTATCCCCCAAAAAGTAGGAATCATCATCAACGAATTTTCTGATTTTGCTGTGATTTTAATAGTCATGAATATGAGAAAATCAGCAAACACGTTTTGATCTTCACTGATCAAAGTGGGATGATTTCATCATCCAATTTTTCAAATTTTCTGATGATCATTATGGTTAACAAAAAACTAGCTATAGTACATGGGATCAATTTACCCTATGCTATAAAAGGGATCAACTATTGATAGTATTCTGGTTACCATCTCAATCTTCTGATAGATAGTAAATGATAGCTTTCTGATATTTCATCATCATGAAAAAACGTTTTTGGGATCACCTGTCATCATCAAATATGATAACCATTATCATCATAACCATCATTATCATTATCATATCATGGTCATTATGGGTTTACGGTGGGTTCATCGAAATCCTGCACCAACAGATGGTTGAAACCCTTTTTTTTTATGGGATCAACCACCGTTTTCAACTGGTGATCCGGATTAAGTCCCCCCTTGGGGGCCAAAAAAAGTCGCAAAGCTAAGGCGCCCGCGGCGTCCACCGCCTCGGGGTCGGTTGGGCGGCCAAGCAATGGTTTCCATCATGGTGGTAGCGCGCTTGGGCTCGCTTTTTGGATGGTTCATTTCACGGAAAATCCCAACCAGAAATGGATGATAACTGGGGATAGCCCCATGAAACCTCCTTAGTACCCTAGGGTAAAGATACCAAAAGATGTTGAAAAGCAATGGTTTGGGCGTTCCATGTTTTCCACATTTAGGTTAGTCAATGGGGTAGGGTAACTCCTACCCCATTGATTTGATTCAACGGTTAAAACATGTGAACGTAACTCCCCGGGTGGCGGGGTCTGTGGAATATCTGTGGGAGATTGTATTTACAGTGGGCATATCAAATTAGGAAATGACCATTTGGGAACCCAGAAACTAATGGTGAATATGGTATTGTACCCCCAGTCATTAGGAAATCATGATTCATTTATCTGGCTGGTGGTTTGGAACATGAATGTTATTTTTCCATAGAGATTTGGAATTTCATAATCCAACTGACTGTCATATTTTTCAGAGGGGTAGGTATACCACCAACCAGTTATGGAATATTATGGAGTATTCAGCTACATTTACCATACAAATGGCACACATGTAGGTAAATATACCATACATGGAGCATATGGGTTATGCAATATTATGGAAATCATCAGGAAACTGTGGGAATATCAACAGGAAAATCCATGGGACCTGAAAAACAGAAAAAATCTCTGGGAACTGGCGATGGGAACTGAACCAAGGTGGTTTGAACCATCAATGGCTCAATGTTTCATGGAGCTTGCTGTAATGGAGTTGAATGGGGCTTTTTTTGAGGAATTAAATCAAGAACTATCGTATATTGTGGATGTGGAATTAGTTCGGCACCACTCATGATGTGGATATATCGAACTCCTTCATGGGGGGGGTACCACCGACAGTACATGACAGTACAACCTGGGCTTTTCACGTCTTGGTTAAGAATCTTGGAAGATGTTGGAACCATACCGGGATGGGTCGTTTGTTACCTATGAAATTACCATATGCTAGGGGTTTATTCACATCCAGCATCATCCAGCTATGTTAGGGTACCATCCGAGTCCCAAGGTTTTGATTCATAGAGAAGTGGGGCTGTGAGAAGCAATCCGGGAGATGCGAACAGCTGGGAATATCCTTTGGTAGTCAAACATGGCAATGGACAATTTGCTTTAAGTGGAGATTTTATAATGGCAAACGAGTGTATCAATTGGCCAATTGCTATTGCCACGTTTGATGACCGGGTAAAAAAAGTTGATGACTGACTGGCCACTTGATAAGCAGATGATCATTGCAATGTGGGGCCCCCTAGATAGCTAAGTTGGTTTATAAATCCAATAACTATAGTAGTTTATTATACTTTTAACTATAGTTATATAATGGGGTTTATAAACCAACTTATATCTGGGGGGGCACCACATTGTAACAACTTTCTGGGTCGATTGGATGGATAGCATTGTACTTTGAGATGATTTGACCAGTGCGATTTGCCATCTTTGATAGGGGATTTACTGTATACTAAACAGCCAAACAAAAACCATGTTTTCGCTGAGATTACTTTCTTGGCCCATGAGAACAATGTCTTTCTTTTTGGGTATAATCTTACTATACTGGCTAGTGAAAAAACGGGGTTCCAAGTATGGTTCTATAAAATAATCCAGTACCAGTAGGTAATAAAAGTCCTACTTTTTTGTCTACCAAAATGGTTCCAATTCAAAAAGTGTACCCCGTTACCCCACAATTTCATGGTCGATCCTCATTTTCCCTGAAATTCTGTGATTTTATACCACGGTATAGCCATGTATTTGGGGGTTTCCTGGTACTCCAATAGCTGGATGGTTTATAATTGAAAATCCCAAACAAGAATGGATGATTTAGGTGCTCCCCCATGTATGGAAAGCCTAGTAGATATACGGAACTAGTGAATGGATCTTCATGCTTATGAACCAACAAACATCACTGGGGGGGCACTAACTCGGTTGCCCCACGAGGCCCTGTTGCCGAACCCACCGAACCCACAAGCGCCGCAAGCGCCGCAAGCGCCGCAAGGCGGGCCTGGTGGCCAGCCGGTGGGTTTCAGGTTTTACATGGCAATGGGAGAATGCGATATATTACATATATAGTATGTATATAGTATATATATATACACACGATATATATATATATAGTGTATATATAATATTTAGAGAAACATAGCAACCCTCATATATATATACATATAGATACATAGATACATAGATAGATAGATAGATAGATAGATAGATAGATGCATGCATAGATGCATGCATAGATGCATACATAGATGCATACATACATACATACATACATACATGGGGAAACTATCTGGAATCAAAAGGAATAAGTTTCTTTTTGGGTCCTCAAGCAAATCCAATAATGTATTATATATATATATATCTATCTACATGTGTATATTTGTATATAGCAAGCCTCAAAAAGATAGAAGTTGGTCAAATCCTTCTTAAATAGTTATAAATTGAACATTTTCTGTATCTTTTTTGGAGTAACATATATATATATATTATATATATATATATTGAAGCATGGGATATTTAAAGGATATAGTGGGATGCAATATAGAGCTATAATATAGTGGGATATGATGGGATATTACCCTCGGGTAAGCTAAGATAGCCGCGGTATAGATGGCCAATAAAAATAGATGATTTACCTATCAACAAGGCTATTTTCAATAGCAATGTTGGATCGCCAGAGGGTACAAGGTGGTGCTCTCCAGTTATAAGTTGGTTTATAAACCCCATTAACTATAGTTATATGCGTATAATAAGCCATAGTTATTGAAGTTATAAATCAACTTAGCGATTTCGATTTCACGGGGGGCCCACATTGTACTGTATTATTTTGTATGTTCATCCGAAGTTTTTTTAGCAGCCACCATTTCAAGATGCCGAAAGTTGTGGATCCATCTTGTATGGGGATGTTCGATGATGTTTTCCCCTGAAAACAAAGCCAGGGTTTCCCACTTTTCGGCATCTATTTGGGGGGTGCATTAATATACTGTAAGACTACAATACATGCCTAATACACTGTATGTATGTATATATAATATACAAATGCATACTTGATATACGAATACATGTATATTTCATATCTCTATATCTTATATGCATTGTAGTACTATCCATATATGCTATATAATTACTGATTCATATCTATCGTACCAGATAAATTCACATTGATATCTCATCGAAGGGAGATGAAACTACTAAGGGTACCATCCCAGGCGACCAATGGACGGTTTTTCGAATCCCGCAACGGCGTCCTAAAGCTAGGTACTTTAGGTACCCAAGAATAATAGGGCTTGATGGTGGTTAATACATGTTAATACCCTCCAGTAATTCTTCACAATTTTTCAGAAAGAAACACTTAATATGGAAAAACGCGTCTGAGGTTTCCAGGACATGAGCATGATCTACTTTCGTGCTGTTTTTTTTTCCCATACATATCTTAACGAAAAAGGGTAGTTTTTTGTTTACCATCTTATAGCCTAGTGACATCCTACGGCCATGATCAACCTTGCTGTGAGGCTCTCCAAGCTTCTGGAACTCAGGAACGCAAGGCTGACAACTTCCCGCTGGAAAGTCGAGCGTTTCCTGCTGGGAAACGATGAGTTCTCTATGTATTTCATACTTTCTACAAAGTGGCCCCCCCGTTTTCGAATTCGCTAAGTTGGTTAGTAAGTCCAATAACTGTGGTTTATTATACGCAAATAACTATAGTTAATGGGGTTTATAAAGCAACTTATAACTGGACGGCACCACATTGTACTTTCTACAAACATGTTCAAACGGGGGTGATATTCTGTGAGATATTAACGTCCTTTTAAGTAGACGTAATCTTTCAGGTTTGATATGTAGGTGTCAACCTCTGCTACCGACAAAAAACATCAGGCCCTAAATATGATCAAAAATTGTGGTTGAAAATGGGTTTTCAAGATTCAAACTAACAAGTACTAAGTATCTTCTCTTACGAAACATACGCAATTGTTAGAGAATCATCAAGACCAAGCAACAGAGTTCCTCACATAACATGCTCCATCAGCATTTGCACAGATGAATTCTAGGGTTGTTTATTTTGCTGACCCCTTTGTGTTCAGCAAAACAGGTCAGAATGCACAAAGCGTCCACAACTCCTTTTGGAACTCTGGAGCGCAAGGCCCTTGCGTTGAGTTTGGAGCAGTCCGATCTTGTTGCACATTTGCTTAAACTGTCAAACCAAACTTGTCACAATGTAGACAAGTGGCCTAACACTCACCGGAGACTAAGAGACCACTTTAATGGATGAATGACTATTAAATACCAATTAGCTTTTCAGATGGCAAGACGGATAAGTTTTAGATTGATGTTATGTTCTTTGTGTGCTGGCTCAACATCCGGAGAACTATGGAAAAACATGAAAGAAGGTAGTGACATCATGTGACATCTAAGTTTAGTTGTGAAAGACAGCAAGCAAGACATAGATTTTGGAGCAAGTCATGGCCACGTCCAGTGACAAGCCGGAACAGACTTTTCCTGTCAGGACAAGCGCAAGCTGGACAAGGCTGCACTGTGCTCTTGGGCGGTGTGTGTTGCAGGACAACGACCAATCAACAGAGTTCCTCAAATCGCATGCTCCATGTGTTGAGCTTGGAGCAGTTCCATCTTGTTAAAACATCTGCTTACCCTCTGGTAATGACTAACATAGCAATGGAAAATGGCCATAGAAATAGTGGATTTTCCCATTAAAAATGGTGATTTTCCATTGCTATGTTAGTTCACCAGAGGGTAACCTTTCAAACCAAACTTGTCGCAATGTAGACAATTCGCCTAGGGCCTCAGACTCACCGGAGACTAAGAGACCACTTTAATGGATGAATGAATATCAAGCGCCTGAGACGACAAGACAGACAAGTTTAGTCTTAATCTTTGTGTGCAACATTGCTCTGGAAGGCATGCAAACACTCGGATAAGTATGGGAAGAAATAAAGAAGGTAGTTCTGGCCAGATTTGTCTCAGAACAATTCAGGACAGATTTCAGCACCGAGTTCCCGAATTAATTCATGTTAGGGTACCCTCCGGCGTCATCAAAGATTCAAAGGTGGCGAACTGGAGAATTCCATCCAATTCCCCATTTACTTCGATGACCTTCCCAGCTAGAAACCTCCATATTTGGGGTGATTTTTCCATATTTTCCCATTAAAACAGATTAAAACCTCCATTTATAGATGATTTTCATTGATTTTCCATGATGTTTCTCATTGAAATATGTCGAATTTTGTCTGGAAAATCATTGAAATATGTTGGAATTGATAGACAATTCATTGGAATTTCCCAGCTACCAACGCGGGTATTCGACTCATCGACAGGTCAGCAAGGGCCAGTCCATCAAGTCCATATCTCCCACACAGTTGGTGGAGGCCGCTGTCTGAAAATGGTGTACACCAAAATTGGATGGGTGATCATTGAAGTTATCATAAGTTATCATCATTTAAATAAAAAAACTCATTTAAACAGTTTTCTCTATTGATTACAATGTGGTCATTTAATGTCATTTAGGGATATACCCGATTTTCAGACATACTAGTAGTTGCACAGATGATTTCGGAAACCGGTTCGTTCATTTTGATAGTTGACAACTTTGGGATGTACCAAGAGGAAGCCTGTGCAGTTCAACATGCACAAAGCTGTAGCTGCTGTTTTGAAGTCTTTTTTTGAATTTAGACCTGAGTGTTTAAATTTAAATCCCGCTCCACTGGCAGCAGTTCGGAGCTATGGTTGTATCCAGATGCTCGATGAAGAATGGGGAGCCAGGGAGCTAGGAGTTTCCCAACCGCATGAAAATTTTATAGTTGGCTCTTGCTGTTGGTTGTATATTTCACTCAATTCCCATTGATTAATCCATTCATATTCCATGAAATCTCCATTGAATGCCCATTAACCCATTGTTGGTTTCTTTTCGATTGGATTCCTGGCCATGGAAACCCTATGGAAATCGACACGAAGCAGAAGAATAGTTCACATATGCTGCGAGGTCAAAATAGCTTTGGGCTTTGCCTCAAAAATGGGGAATACGCACAATTTTAGTGCCATGTTTAAACCATGGATTTCCAGGCTTCCTAGTTTTGAGAGAACCCCAAGATACCCAGATAAACTCTTGGGTAACATGGGCAATGGAGCATCCTCCATTGATGAAATGTTCACGTCATGGGTCATGGGTAGCGGGTAATGATTGACATGACATTAGGCATTGACCATCATTGACCCCTAGATGCCCCATGAAAAAATGATCCATTCATAATATACAGGTCAACCAACTGGATGGGTAGAAACATGTAGAAACTAATCCTGAATAATCTTTTGGTATGAATAGGAATATCTACGTTCACCAGCTAAAAAAATGCAGGGTATCGAAGATTGGCCGTGATATTTTTCTTTTTACAATTTATCATTCATAATTTGGTTGATTGTTTCAAATCTGTTCTATGTTCAACCGTAGAAACTGAAATCGGATGATGATACCCACTATATGTTCAAATGCGTGGCTCAACCACAAATCAAACACTTTCACCAAAAGGTGGGTATTATTATCTTGGGATTTATAATCATTATTCATCACTGTTAACCATAATATTAACCACAATATTAACCATCATATTAACCATCATATTAAGCATAACATTAACCATTTATTAACCATATTAACACATTATTAACCATATTATTACCCACTATATTTTTGCTTAAGTCCATATTCAATCGGTGAACTGCTTGCTGCCGATTGCACCTGAATCGTTGCTTGTTGATTCCCATATTTTGGTGGAATTCTCAACATTTTATTGGTTATATAGTTATATTGTGCCGCACATCCATCAAGATCAACATTTCACATGCTTAAATTATGATAATTTCCATCAAGATCAACATTTCACATGCTTAAATTATGTGGTTGGCGCAGTCTCCATGCACCATTCCCACCATTCTCCCATCGGGCCACTTCCCATGCCTGGCCCATTTCGAAAAAAAAGGCCAGTCGTCAACTCACGTGACCCACGTCTCGCACGTTTCCCACGCTGGACCAGGTCTGAAAATGTGGGGAAAAACACCATAGAAATGGAGATTAGATGATCATCTATAAATCATCTATACACCATCTATAAATCATCTATAAATGATAACATATCATGGACTTTGACATACTCAGATTGAGATATAGAATAGCGCCAAAGCAATGACACAAACCAAGGGTTATGAATCCAAAGTCGACATTACTGCAGTTACATTCATATCTCACTGTGTTTCACTTCCAAGTTTCAAGCAATATTCCATTGCTGCTCTTGTTTTGACCTCTTGCCAATCAGAATTTTGAACTATCAACCATCATTCTTGGCTTATATCACATGATAACTCCAGTTTTTTTGGACGCATCAGTGAAATTAGAATTTTCTACTCGCAAAATGGGTTTGTCTAAAAATCAGGCAATTAGACCAAAATCCCATGGTCCATCATCATTTTTGCATTCAAACAAATGGTAGTTCTGGGTAATTACCTCATTTTCAGACACGCTCAAATCGTCGTGCTAGATCATCAATGATCATCATATCATTTTTGCTTGGATAAATCACTATAGTAACCCCCAAACACGATGCCGAAAAGTTTGAAACCAAGATGGTAGTTCGATGATATTTCCCACATATTTCCAGGTTTCGGAGATAAGTGATAGATAAATTGCTACTACCACATCAAAAAGATTAGATTTATCAGATATGGCTCATCCCGCTTTGTAGGTTATATCCCTGGTTTTGTTCGTGGGATTTCCGTAGGCTTAATCCACTCATATATAACGAGTGGGTTTTATCACTAGGCTTTTATCTATAAGCTACTAAACGGATTCGGAAATTCCTGGGTAGTTCTGCACCAAGTAACAACTCTGTTCACCATCATTATCCATTGTTCACCATCATTAACCACTACTATATCAACCATTCTTAATCATCATTAACCATCCATCAACCATCCATTAACCATCCATTAACCACTATTAACCACTATTTGCGATAGATTTCACTACTATTAACCACTATTAACCACTATTTATCACTATTAATCACTATTAACCGTCATTAACCATCATTAACCATCATCATTAACCACTATTAACCACTATTAATTATATCCCATATCGAATGACCGGATTTTCACTGGCGCTGATGAAAACCAGGCCCACAGCCCCTGCCGGCCTCCGGAGAGTGGCAAACCCAGATTCGCCTGGCGGTTTTGGGAGATGTCACAGTAGTTGGTTTCTAAGCCCCATATAATATATTTTAGTTATATATATATATATACATAATTAAAAATATTGAAATATATAATAATTATATATAATTAGATATATATATAATTATATATATACATATATATTTGAATATATAATTAAATATATAATATAATATATCTAACTATATATCTAATTATATATATATCTACATCTACCATAAGCCCAAGATTTATTGGAGTTATAAATCAACTTAGCGTGAACTGGGGCACCCTTTGCGGGATTTCACCATGGATATCATGCATACTGGAGAGTTTACCATCATTTAACCATGAAGAAATCGTGATTTCACCAACCAAACATGGAAAAAATGTGTGAAGACACATTACTGTTGTATATTGTATTACTGGGATCTAATTGTATATGTTTTTTGGTATGTATGCTAGTTAATCTGGTTGGTGGTGACTGGAACCATGGAATTTTATGACTTTTCCATTCAGTTTGGAATAATAATCCCAACTGACTTTCATATTTTTTTTAAGAGGGGTTGAAACCACCAACCAGATTATCATTTCATTCAAACAGATTTGACGAAGCAAAGTGGGGAATTGGACCAGCGGACACCTGTGGATTTCAGTGACAAATTTGTGGATGCAAGCACAGAAGGAATTCAAGCGTCCTTTTTTCCTGAACGAAATAATAGACATGCTGAATTTTCAAAAAAAAATGGATTGAAATAACCAATGATAGGGAGCCTGGTGTCTACATTGGCCCAGGTCTGATCCTTCTCATCGGTGGAAACAGAAAATGGACGCCCTCAATCAAACAAACCACGGGTCAACATTACTTAGATGGGCCATAGACTTAATTTATTGGTTTGCAATTATATTATATAAACATTCATATAAACCATGAATATCATATCCATTTTACAGCATTTTAGAACTGGGTATATTCCATGTTTTTTTTATGTTATAAGTTATAACTTATAACCCACGGGACCCACCACCAGTTTCTCTCCTGACTCAGTCAGTCCAGCGCATCTCTCAGGTCAGTTGCTTGGATGGCAGCGACGCAGCCCGCCCCATGTCATGGAGTTATGCCTTGTGTGGCTGTTGTACTCACCAGCAATAGGGATTGATAGGGAGTATGTAATGTAATGTAATGTAAGGTAATGTAATGTAAGGTAATGTAATGTAATGTAATGTAATGTTATGTATGTATGTATGTATGTATGTATGTATATATATATATGGATGAATAATAATGACCTCAGGTCGTGCCGTCACTGGAATGGCGAATGGATTAGGAGAATGTTCCCCTTCAATGGCCGCTTTTCTGGGATCAAGATGGGTTTAGTGGGTTGATGCACGAACTTTTTCAAGGATATCAAGGGGTGGCCATGAATGGATTGAAGAAATATCAGTGGTTCAGGATTTCTTCCATCCACAGTATCTTTATTTCTTTCTTGATTTCTGTCTTATCTGTGTCTCCATTTGTCTATCCATCTGTTAAGCTATAGAAATCTTTTTCTCTATCTTCTCCAGCAAAAGTACCCTCTGGTAATTTAACATAGCTATTGAAAACTGCCATTTATAGCTGAATTCCCATTAGACATGTTGATTTTCCATAGCTATGTTAGTTTACTAGAGGGTACATATATGTACATATTAGTTGCCAGACATCTCAGTGGTACCTATTTATAACATGTCTCAAGTATACATTTCCACACAACTGAGAAGTGTTCAAACTCCCTGTTGCTTGATGATGACGTGGGGATCCAACATATTCGGGATTATCATACTCCATGAACTAAGTTAATCATAGTTGTAGGAAATATTGGGGAGGTCCTCTGAATCATAGGTGATTCCAATCCGCTCCGGATTGGAATCCCATGGGATTAGCCTTTGGTCATTTTTCGCGATTGAAAATGGCACAAAAATAGTGGATTTACCCATCAAAAAATAGTGATTTATAGTGGATTTACCCACTGAAAAGGGTGATTTATAGTGGATTTACCTTGGAGTGACCCCCCGCCCGCTAACAGTGGAATAATGGATTTTAATTGTAACTTCCCAGCCAAAATTGCACAACAACCCAGGGACCAAAACCACAAACAATTTGAGAGGCCCAATCTTCTCAATCCAATTTTTTCTGATGTTGAACCGAAGTATGAAATCACTCTGGGGGCAGCCTACTTGGAACCAAATCAAATCTATTCAGTTGGAGCTTGCAGAGATTTTGTTGGATAAAATCATTTTTGGGCAAAGGGAAAGGCAGCAGTGCAGGGACGAGTTTGCTAAGGGACAATATTTGCTAAGGGACAAAATTTGCTAAGGGACGAATTTTGCTAAAGGGAAAATTTTGCAAAGGGACAAGTTTTGCTAAGGGACAAATTTTGCTAAGGGGCAACTTTTGCTAAGGGACAAATTTTGCTAAGGGACAAATTTTGCTAAAAGGACAATTTTGCTAAGGGACAAAACTTGCTAAGGGACAAGTTTCGCTAAGGGACAAATTTTGCTAAGGGACAAGTTTTGCTAAGGGACAGATTTTGCTAAGGGACAGATTTTGCTAAGGGACAAATTTTGCTAAAGGGAAAATTTTGCAAAGGGAACAAATTTGCTAAGGGACAAATTTTGCTAAGGGACGAATTTTGCTAAGGGAAAATTTTGCTAAGGGACAAATTTTGCTAAGGGACAAGTTTTGCTAAGGGACAAATTTTGCTAAGGGACAAATTTTGCTAAAGGGAAAATTTTGCTAAGGGACAAATTTTGCTAAGGGACAAGTTTTGCTAAGGGACAAACTTTGCTACGGGGAAAATTTTGCTAAGGGACAACAAATTTTTCAGTGACAAGTTATGCTAAGGGACAAATTTTGCTAGGGGAAAACCCTTGCTTGCTGTCGTGCTTTTTTTTTGTGCTCTCGGCCGTGCTTTTGGAAAAGGTAGAAAATGTCAAAAGCACAACTTACCATGCAAAAAGAGCACAAAAAGTGCACAACTTCCCTGATGATTTGACCACAAAAATTAGCACAACAAACAGCACAACTAACCACAAGAAAACGCACAAAAAAACCACAACGTTTAGGCTTAAAGAGCACAACTTCCCTGATCATTTTTGCACAACAGCAAGCCAAGGAAAAAATAAAAACATTTAATTCAATTTACATTTGGCACCGACCACAACTTCATCAACAAAAAAAGCACAAAAAGTGCACAACTTCCCTGATGATTTGACCACAAAAATTGGCACAACAAACCTCACAACTTCATCAACAAAAAAAGCACAAAAAGTGCACAACTTCCCTGATGATTTGACCACAAAAATGAGCACAACAAACAGCACAACTAACCACAAGAAAACGCACAAAAAAAACCACAACGTTTAGGCTTAAAAAGCACAACTTTTTAGCTCAAAAATTTACAACCGCAGCCCCCCCCAAATCCCAGGTTGTCCTGAACCTGCAGTCGACTAGGGCCTGCCAGCCCAGCCTGAGCCTGGATCCTGCTTGAGGGCCGTGCCACCCGTTAGTGTGGCCAGCTCTGGCACTGTTAGTGTGGCCAGTTCTGGCACCCGTTAGTGTGCACCCGTTAGTGTGGCCATCTCTGGCACCTGTTAGTGTGAAGCCCCAGGTTAGCTTGAACACCAGGCAGCCAAGTCAATGAAATGGTTCATGTGATTCATATGATTCGATATGAAAAACCTTCGGCCAATGATACTTTTAAACTGAGAAGCAAAGCAATTCAAAGTAAAGACTAGGGTGTGTCAGAGTATCAGCACACATGATTCTGTCGCATGCGTCATATGTAATGAAATACGATTGTTTTTTTCTGTGATAAGTCATATTAGTCATGAAGAAATGTTATCCAACAAAATCACCCTGGGGGCAGCCTACAAAGCATAAACCCATTTATTTGGTGGGCCTCCTTTGGTTCGATAGGATGGTGCATAATCTGAGTCTCTGTGCTGGATTGCCCTGGATTTTTCAATATACAGACCTAAGCTCTCATTGGCCTTTTCCGGTCAAAGTATATACAAACCCAACTTCTTTATGAACTATTGGGTTCATGCTGTGAAAACCCCAACTTCTTTGTGGGTTGGTAGACTGACAAAATGTGCCAATCCAACTTCTCAATGGCATTTTGGGTCCATCGTGCTTGTGTTTTTTTTTGTGGTCTGGATTGTGGTGACTGTTAGTGTAGGGACAGTCCAAGATTTACCCATCAAAAAATGGTGATTTATAGTGGATTTACCCCTCAGAAAATGGTGATTTTCCATCGTTTTTCGTATGTCTACCGGATTCCTCCACGTCCCATGAGTCCCATGGTCCCATTTGCCGATGCGGCAGGTCACCACGACCAGCAATCCCCACGAGTTGCCACAGCCAAAGGCACCCGAGATCACGGTTTCTTGGCGAGGAGGTCACCATTTTTCATGGGTCAGGCATCTATAAATGGACCATTTTCCACTGGTTGACCTTAATAGATTATGGTATATTGATGGAATATGAATGGACATATGATGGGGATACAATGGGAATTGGTAACTAAGAATTAGGATGAATTAGGTAAATGGAGCATTTTCCATGCTGATATTATATAACAGACCATTTTCCATGGACATTTTGTGGTGTTAATGGTGTAGTATATATGGAATATGAACAGTGATTGATGGTGAGTAATGGTTCATATTAATAGTGATATGCCATTTCTTGATGATGGTATATTAATGGAATAGTAATGGGTAACTTATGAACGCGACCGAACCCTGTTCTCCCTCACTATTTTCATGGCTAGGATTCGAGGAAACATCCCCAAGATAGCCGCAAGATTCAGGTCCCCAAGATAGCCTTATTTCAGGTTAGTGGATTATTATAATTTACCCAAATCTATAAATGGTGGATCTTCCATAGCTAACTGTTAGTTTACTGGAGGGTACCCTCTGGTAAATTAACAGTTTGACCCTGAATATCACCAGTTTTTAGTGGAAACTAGTCTTCCAACCCCGATGAATGCCAGGGTCTATGTTTATTTACTGGAGGGTATATAGTGTACATGGATATATACCAGGTTCTTCAAAGTGACCCTTTTCAGTTGATTAAGTGATCCTTACAATGAGGTATTTTGTGACCTCGGAAAACGAAGCTTTTTTAGGGGTCACTTTGAAGAACCAGGTAGATAATTATATAACTAGATATATTGAGCTAGTTACTATGGTTTATAAATCATCGACTATTGAGGATCATACCTCCAAAAACTCTTGGGTTTCATGGCTGGGATATAAGAGACTAGTATCAATCCCTGCCCCCCGAAAAAAGTGCCCCCCCAGTGATGTTTGGCAAATAACGATTGTCTACTATTTGGACAAAAGCTGGTTGGTGGTTTCAAACTTTTTTAAAATTTTCCAGAATATATGGGATAATCCTTCCCATTCCCATTGACTTTCATATTTTTCAAAATGGTTATTGCACCACCAAGCAGAAAGTTATTGGAACTATGTTCACCAACGTAGCAATTCCACCGTAGTAATTCATCACAGCTTCATGACCAGAAAAAAAGGACACCTTGGTGGTTTTCTGGTGGTTACCCTCTGGTAATTTAACATAGCTACTGAAAATGGCAATGTTTAATGGGAAAATCAACTATAAATGGCAATTTTCAATAGCTATGTTAAATTACCAGAGGGTAATAGTAGCTTTCGATATCTTTCGATCCATCCAAAAAGGATTTTTGTTTCGGGTACGATTTCAAGCAGGTCGGATAGGTTTCAGGAACTGCAACTGAGCAGGAACTGCAACACTTCCGACTGATGTTTTTGCTGAGCAAGGTTCGCTCGAATGATGGATTAATTTCCGCCACCATCTTTTTTAGGGGGATTGGATTCTGGATAATCGATGGGGATGGGGCCGATGAACAAAACCATTGGTTAAGGGTTGCTCCAACATTATCGTTGAATGATATCCACTTTTGGGTCTGGGTGGTGAAAGAAAAGTGTGTTTGTTTCCTCTTTATTTACCTATTCTGATTGGTGGTTTGGAACATGAATTTTATGTCTTTCCCATCATATTGGGAATGTCATCATCCCAACTGACGAACTCCATCATTTTTCAGAGGGGTTGGTCAACCACCAACCAGATATCACCTTATGTTCTCATTAATTGTTGGTTATTAAGTTAAAATCTCACCAGTGTGACATATTTCATCAGCCAACCATAATCTGGGTTATTAATGGTTAATACATGTTAATACTGGTTATATAATGGTGAATTATTAATAATGGTTGTTTATCCCCCAACAATGTCTGGGCTGTGTGGAGCAACCTGGATAGAGGAGACCAAAAAAACCATGGATCTCGAGGAGTAAATGCTGAGAAAATCTCTGGCACGCCATGGAACTGATTACCCGAGGCTATCCCATAAAACTATGGAATTGGCTATATATATATGCATATATATATATATATCTATGCATATATATATAATACATATATATATATAATACATATATATATATATAATACATATATATATATAATACATATATACATAATACATATATACATATATATATATATTATTATTATTATTGTTAAGTATTATTGTTATTACTATTATTACGTATGCCACATTTAATGATTGTTAAACCAGGCGCATCAATGGGAGTTCACCTTTTAACGTTTGCTTGACATTAGCGGCGGTGCTGAAATCCCTCACATGCGGGTACCCAATTTTGACCCATAGCCAACTTGCGTGCGGGAAAACCCAAATACAATATCTGGTTGGTGGTTTGGAACATGAATTTTATTTTTCCATATATTGGGAATATATTTTCCCAACTGACTTTCATATTTTTCAGAGGGGTTGACACCACCAACCAGATATTAATTTATATCTATGTATGTGGTCTTCAGATAGAGACATCTACATACATGTCTATGTTACATATCTATATTACATATCTATATTACATATCTATATTACAGATCTATATTACATATCTATATTACATATCTATATTACATATCTGTATTACATATCTATATTACATATCTATATTACATATCTGTATTACATATCTATATTACATATCTATATTACATATCTATATTACATATCTATATTACATATCTGTATTACATATCTATATTATTATATTACACATCTATATTACATATACATATCATTAAATAAACATATGTATATATATATATATGTATATATATATATGTACATAGCTATATATATATATATCTATACGCATATCTATATGCATATCTATATACACATCTACATACACATCGACATATATATATATAGATGATACACTGGCTGAAATCCGCCGTGCGGCTGCCATGGAAATCCCCAGGTTGAGACAGATATTCCAGATGGAAGTCCATTGGCCAGTTGCAGAGGCTACGAGGTCCACGGGTCGGAATGGCCTGGCCTGACCTAAGTTCTTAGGGATATAAATACAGGGGGATTTACAATGGGATAATAGTGGTTAATAGTGGTTTATAGTGGTTTATGGTGGTTAATAGTGGCTAATGGTGGTTAGTCATCACTTAATGGCTTATTAATGGCTTATTCATGGAATGGACATGGGACGTATAGTGATTCATAGTGATTCATACTGGGCGAATAAGCGGATGATAATGGGATAATAGTGGGATAATTGTGGTTATCCTCCGGTAAACTAACATAGCTATTAAAAATGACCATTGAAATAGTGAATTTTCCCATTCAAAATGGTGGATCTTTCCAGTTCGTTATGTAAACGTTTACCAGAGGGTAATAATGGGGACAGCGATGATAAACAATGGTATAACCAACCATAAATTTTACAAATAGGGATAATAATGTGGAAATAATCACCATTTTTAATGGGTAAGTCATCTATAAATGGACCATTTTCCACTGGTTGACCTTAATAGATTATGGTATATTGATGGAATATTAATGGACATATGATGGGGATACAATGGGAATTGGTAACCAAGAACTAGGATGAATTATCATTTCTGGATGAATTAGTGTTAATGGTATAGTATACATGGAATATTAACTGTGATTGATGGTGAGTAATGATTAACATTAATAGTGATATCCAATTTCTCAATGATGATGATATATTAATGGAATAGTAATGGGTACATTTTAGTGACCTCACATTGTGACCTCGCTGGAATCATAGTTGGTAAAGGAATTATCCCGATATAACCGCACTTTGCAGGTTTGTGAATTATTGTAATTTGCCCAGATTAATAGACTATGTTCACATACCCCAAAGGAGTATTACCCATATCAATCAACCATTTTGAGGAATATTAGCCGTATATATTATATAATCCATATTAAACCAATGTTTCTGGGATATTTGGGGTAAACTAACATAGATGTAGAACATTTTCCACATCTATTTTATTTTGCAGGAGGGTAATGGACTTTTGGTTAGAAACCAAGAATTTTGTGGAGAAAATGGCATGAAATCTAGGGCTTTGCAATGATATAATGGGAATATCACGAGCAATTTATGATGGTGTATATCATATGGAATTTCCGTGGAGTCATGGAATGCATTGTTTTTTAGCATGATTTTTTACCTGTATAACCAATCAGATTCGATCTGTTTTTAGGAATCATCGACCATGACAAGTGGAATGCTGGTCAGTACTTTGATGAACATCCTATGAATGGGAACTGGAAAAGAAAATGCATAGTGTGATCAACCTATGAAATGATCGATCATACATGCCCCATGCATCCCCATGGCTCCAATGTGACAATTTGGGGGCTATTCAAAGCCATAGTCTAAGAAGTGTTCTTGGGTTTACCATAGTGAGTATATCCCGATATGTCGACTGAGTGAACTCATCATGCTTGTGAAACACTTCCGAAGTGGTTACTTCGCACTCTCCGAAGTGGTTACTTCGCACTCTCCGAAGTGGTGGAAATGTGCATCATTTGAAAGGGAACGGGGCTCTCTCTCTCTCTCTGCAAATTTGGAAAGTTGAACACATCAACCATGATGGGAATATGATATACAATATGTAGGTTTCCATAAATGGGGATAGCCCCATAGCTAGATGGTTTATAATGGAAAATCCACCCCCAAAAAGGAGGATTTAGGGGTACCCCCATTTATGGAAACCCTCGTATGTAAATTTTGATATTTTTAACAGGCCGGGATGATATGAAAGAATGGAATGTATGGATATAATCAATGATGGCAAAAATCATTCGAGGTATGTTTTTAGGCTCCTCCAATTTAAAGATACACCACAGGAACACCCACAGTTGTGGTTTTTGGTTTACAACCCCAGGTAACTCTTGATTCTAGATATACCCTCTGGTAATTCAACAGTTTGTGAACTGGAAAATCACCATGTATAACTATACTGTGGGTGGAAGAAATCCTGCACCAGTTGGTAGATGGGCAAAATCCCATTAAAATCCCATCATTTACAGTGTTTCATAGTTTCCTGATGGTTCCCCTGTTTGTTCAGGATTTCATCATTTTCATCCACAGCAAATCATCTTGAGACGGATCATTTTCAACAATTGGTGAACTGACTAGGGCCCCTGGGTCAAGTTTGCTGGTTAGTGACTGTAGCACCTTCGAAAAGTCGAATTCCTATTTTATTTGTTTGCCAACAAAAAGAGGATGATGGAAACTAAACGAACTAGACGAAGCAGCGAAAGATACAGTTTTTTGGTGTTAATGGTATAGTATACATGGAATATTAACGGTGATTGTTGGTCAGTAATGGTGAACATTGATTTTGTGCAGAGGATCTAAGATTAACGAGAACGGCCACAGGAACATTGGGCCCAATGCACGTCGTGCTCTCAGAAAAATCTCTCAATTTTCCGCCACTGATCCATGGATTCAACTGTTGGATTTTTTTTGTTACCCCCTGGCAATTTAACATCGCTATGGAAAATGGCGCATCTATAGTCTATAGTTGATTTACCTACTAAATATATATATATCTAAATATAATATGGTGATTTTCCAGTTCGCTTAACGTTTACCAGAGGGTAAGCCATAACATGAGATCAGACATGTGGATGTTCCAACAACAATAGGGATTTCATATGATTTAAATATTGGATGTTTCATGGGATATCGTTGGATGTTTCATGGGATATATGGATAAGGATTACAAACATTGACCATCCAACTGATATCCATTACGATTTGGATATCAGGATGGTAATCAATACAGTCTGCCATTAAACACACATTGGATGATGTATAATAATCAATATTCTAAATTAATACAGAACCATCATCACGTATATTTTTACATGTCCTGAATTGGGTGCTGCAACATGAATAGTAACTTTTTTCCTGCTAAAAACAAGTTATGTGTGGGGTTTGAACCTACTTACTAGCCATGATCCATGGAAACTTCAGGGAGCGTTCCAGTATGTGACTCCACATCCGAAGTGTTGCCAGGTTATTTGCCCGGACCAAATTTGGCCAATCATGGCGAATTGAACCATTCAAATACCCTTGGTTGGTTTCTACACCATTCGGTTTATTTGGGATTCATACAATTGAAAATAGGGATACCTATTTACCAAATTTTACCAATCAGTATAGTGGGATGGTGTAGGGTATTTTTTAAAGCTCAATTGTAGAGACCTCACTGTGCCCCTCGATGGATTACGATGGCTAGTAGCGGAACCATCTCCAAAATGCATTGTTTGTATTTTTTTTTAGGGGAGTCGGTGAAGCCTTTTGATATCCCACAATTAACTCGGCACCGCGCTGCGAGTTGAGCATCTTGCTCTTGATGGTTTCAACCCATCTTTGGGGTAACAAAAACATTGAGAAAATCAACGAAGATTCCCAATTCATCCAAGAAATTCCACACAAACAACTTCTTGGTCAACTTCCGCTGGTTGGTGGTTTGGACCATTTTTTATTTTCCATTTCATATATGGGATAATCCCAACCCCATTGATTCATATTTTTCAAGATGGGCACATTGCACCACCGTTTCCGCGGAAAACTCCTCGGGGTCTCCACCGTTTTGCACACCGAGGCAGCCCAGTTGTCAGGGGGCTGAGAGGGTGAACTGCGCCTTCACGGCGCCTCGGAATGGACCCGTAACTGGAGAGGTACGGGGGAAAATCCTGGAGTTTTTTTGAAATACCCTCTGGTAATTTAACATAGCTATTGAAAATGGCCCATTTATAGTTGATTTACCTATTAAAGATGGTGATTTTCCATAGCTATGTTAGTTTACCAGAGGGTAAATATGGAACATGGTATGGAAAATCCTGGGACAATCAACCATAAATGAATATAAATGATGGATTCATGGGAGTTTAAACAACCATTGGACCTGGTTGGTGGTTTGGAACCATGGAATTTTTATGACTTTCCATTCTATGGAACATACGGTGGATGGAAGAAATCCTGCACCAGTGGATAGGAGGTTTATCCCATTATTTATAGGGGTTTAACCATCCAAGGTGGTGCAAGATTTCTTCCATCCACAGTATCACAAGCAGCAAAACATAGCTAGTTATATGGAATTTATAAAATGGAACATAACTAACATAACTAACATCACAAGCAAAAGATGGACCATATCAGAGAATCGCTGTTTCATGGTTTTTGTCATGGATTCGTTCAGAAATCAAATACCCAGCCAGATCATTCTTCTAGCAGACACCATGTTCCCCCCTAAAGTTCTGGCTATATTTTTGTGGATTTGAGTGGGAAATGTGATTAACATATATAATTTTGGTTATGTTCATGTAGCTGAGTATTCTGGGGAAGCTTGGACATTTGGACAACAAAGACATATGGAGGTGTTCGTGAGGTGTTCGCATCAAAGAGGGGTCAAGTCTTTCCCACTGCCGGGTCCAGCATGGGATTCAACAAACATCTTTTTTTTTTCCAGCATGAATCCTTGGAAATCCCATTGTTATCCCATTATTTATAGGGGTTTAACCACCAAGGATTTTTCCAGCATGAAGGTCATGGGCATAGAGATGATCCTTGGTGGTTACATGATCAACTTTCGTTGGCTTCGAATGGTCGAATCCCTCGAATTCAACCAAGAGTTTTTCTGACGGCACGGCCGACTTGTTTGCTTATTCGTTACTAATTTTAGAACATGTTAGAACAATAGCTGGTTGGTGGTGACTGGAACCATGGAATTTTATGACTTTCCATTCAGTTGGGAATAATGATCCCAACTGACGAACTCATATTTTTCAGAGGGGTAGGTATACCACCAACCAGATAGGGTATGAGTCAAAATTGAAGACCAGATCACAGATGTTCATGTTTGCGATCTTGATCCAATGACATGGGTTTGTCAACGTCGGAACCTCAAAGGATTCCAGCATCGGTTTCCATCTTGAGATACATCATGATAGTTACAATGTGGGGCCCCCTAGATAGCTAAGATTAGCTAAGTTGGTTTATAACTCCAATAACTATAGTTTATTATACTTATAACTATACTTAATGGGGTTTATAAACCAACTTATATTTGGGGGGGTACCACATTGTACAAGTTGGGGTACTCACATTTTTGGAGACACCCATAAGCTTCGGGCCAACTTTGATAGGCGAACATGAACGAGTTTTTAAAGTCATGTTGATGGGAACATTTAGACACAGCAGCTAGGAACTAAGTTACTGATGCAAGAATACCATTGCATATCTCAAGAACCATATTACCGATGGACTGTGTAGTTCCTTGCTGTTCAAGATAGGTTTGAGCAACAAGATACAACCACTACTTTTTTTAAACTGCCAAAAGTGGAGTTTGGCCAAATCTAAACATATTTTTGGAGAGTGATTGCGACAAATCTATCACAGGGTGAAACCAGGAATGATGTGGGGATTCCCATAAAGCTTCTCGAAGGCCGAAATGGGAATTGAACAAGTTGTGACACACATAATTACTTGGATTTGCTGGAGAGATTAATATTACCCTCTGGTTATGACTAACATAGCCATGGAAAATGGCCCATTTATAGATGGTTTACCTATTAAAAATGGTGATTTTCCGTGGCTATGTGAGTCATAACCAGATGGTATTTATTTTCCCGTTGGGAAATCCACATCTTGGGGAAGATATTGGGATATGTTCGTTTTTAGGGACGCCTTAAGCCTAGCAAATCTGCCGGTCCTCGCTAGATGCCGAATCCTCTGGTGCCAATGTTGCTGCTTCAGTCCTTTTTTTCCAAGCCACTTCATACCCTTTTTGTATCTTTTTGTTGGTTGAAATATGTTGAAATATTGTCCCATATGATCCCATATGATCCCATGATTAACCATTAACCATTATGACAAACAACTAGACTATATCCCATGAAATGCCATATTTATCTTATTCATGAGCCGTTAAAGCCCATTAAATCCCATTAAATCCAATTAAATCCCATTAAATCCCATTAAATCCCATTCATCATTAAATCCCATTCATAAGCCATATTTATCCCATATTTATCCCCTATTGATATGATATATATATATAATATATATATATTGATTAATATGATTTGATCCGATCCCATTCATAAGCCGAAGGGCGCCATTCAATCCTATTTTTTGATCCCACGAAATCCCGCGAAGCAAGGCGTGGAGTCAATGGGAAAGCTTGGGAGGCGGCGGAAAACATGGAAAAACACCTGCCGAAGCTGCCGATGTCAGTGGGTTCATGAGGATTTCCCCATAGTCATTTAATGGTGATATAATAGGGATTTGATGGGATTTAATAGGAATCTATATTCATTGTATGGGATTTCATGGAATACTCTAGGGGTAAAGGTAAAACTACAAAGAGATGTGGAAAAGGTGTCCCGTTCAGAAAATCTGCAAATGGTGGGTTCTCTGCATCTCTATTAGTCCAACAGAATATACCCATCCCATTAAATGAAATTTATAAGGATATATAAGGATATTTGAAAGATATTTGAAATATAGGATATATAAAAAAATTGAGATATACCATTAAATGATGATTTTAGGATGAAATTAATCATCAACCATGAGGATTTATAGGGATTTTCCCCGGATTTTTTTTTCTGGAAACCATGGAACACATTCCCTACTAAGTGACCATTTATTTGGGTCTGCCCCATTTTCATACAGACCCAAATTAGGACTTGATCAACAAAGTCATGGAGACTTGATCAATAAAACCTTGATATTTAATTGAGAGAACTAGTGATCTGATCTGCAAAAAACTCAAAATCTTCGAACATAAGGGTTTAGGCAGCAACATGTGACAGGAAACAAGCAAAAACCTACGGATATATATGGGAATCGACCGGGTCATATGGCATTGACCCAGTAGTTTTGGGAGTCCTCATTTCCCAGCTGTTTTGGTCTTCGCCAAGGGTACAGGATGGTTTCCGTTGGTTTCCGAAACGTGACTCACAAAAAACATCACTTGATCTTAGGGGATGATCGCATCACTTTCTTGATGGCACCCTGACCGGTGGTCGGCCACCAAGTGTGGTGATCTATTCATCATCAAAGGTGGCAGGACGATATGTTGGATCCTGAGGGTGATGTTCGTCTACTAGCAGTCCCATCACAGTTTGCATTAATGTTTGCATTGTTTCCCTACTATCCGGTGGTTAGGAGGGAACATGAGGGAGCTAAGGACGTAGGGCTATCCATGTTCCCTACTTCCAGAGCCAAGGAGCTACTCAGTGTTTCCCGGCCACATGATAGAAACTATTTGCTTGCTCTGTGAATATGTTGGTACTAGAATGTGGGGCCCCCCAGTGATGTTTGTTGGTTTATAAACCCCATGAATACTATAGTTATTTGCGTATTATAAACCATAGTGAAATTGGACTTATGTTCACCAACTTAGCTATCTTGGGGGCCCCACATTGTACTACTAGGGCTCATCCGCACAAATATGTTGGCTATGCCAGCACGATCTCTTCGTCAAATCCGCATTGTTTTAGGGTTTGGAAAGTCTATTGGTTGAAGGTACCGAGACTGCCCATACTTTTCCGACACTGAAATTCACAAAAAGATCACAGTTTTCCATCATTCTAGTTATCAATTCGAAAAAAAAACATATTCATCAAGTTTTACTCATTACACTGTTTACTGCCAGAATTTTCATGGTTTTTCATGTATTTTTTCATCCATTATCATGTTCAGTTCTTGGAGGCTGTTCCGGGCTGGGACTTCGAAGCCGGAAGATCGCCAGGTAGGGTTGGTTGTTCGGCTTTGAAAAAATGAAAAGGGGATACAAAGTATAGTGAATCACTGGATATCACTGTTATATAACATAGATTAATGATTATTAGTTGGAATAAGAAATGTTTGAACATATTTATGTTAATCACTGTATATCACTTATTAGTATAAGTTGGTTTATAAGCACCATTTTTTGTATAGAATATAGATATTGGTATCACTATTATTGTTATCACTGTTATTATTGTTAATCTGGTTGGTGGTTTCAAACATGAATGTTATTTTCCATAATATATGGGATAATCCTTCCTATTGACTAATATTTTTCTGAGGGGTTAAAACCACCAACCAGTAAATAATGTGGTTAAAACAATATATTTAATAAACCATCCACCAAATCACCATTTTTATAGGTGGTGTAAACCATTCCCAAATGGGTAGTTTGTTGTGAATAAAATGGTGAATCACTGGTGAATATGTTATTATTGTTATCACTGTTATTATAGTATTGTGAATAAAATGGTGAATCACTGGTGAATATGTTATTATTGTTATCACTGTTATTATAGTATAGTGAGTCACTGGTATAATGAGCAAGGGTCAAAAGAGCGGGTTTGAAAATTCTTGGGCGGTTTGAGGGGGGAAATTGCGCTGCATGTTGTCAAGCTGACCGATGGCTACAAAACTAATCGCTAGATTGTTAAAATCTCATTGACAGAATTTGACAGAGAATCGTGGAGGCTTGCCTGAACATGTATTCCTGTTTGGTGGTTTGGAACATGAATTTTATTTTTTTCCACATATGGGGATTTTCAAACTCCCAGCTGACTTTCATATTTTTCAGAGGGGTAGGTATACCACCAACCAGATATTAATTTAAATCTATGTATATGGTATTCAGATAGATACATCTACACACATATCTATATTACATGTTACTTTACCAGAGGGTAAATACATATCTATATTACATATATATATATATATATTACATGTGTATATATATATATTACATATCTATATTTATATCTATAATATTACATATCACATATATATATATTACATCTTCATCATTTTTTTTTAGCAAAAGTGAGCTCCCACTGTGTGAGGCCTAAAAAGGGAACCTTTTTACAAACGCGAAACGCCTCCTAAGCGACCATGGAATCAGTACCACCGTCGCAGAGATGTACGATGGTTTATGGGCCCCCGTTTTCGAATTCGCGAAGTTGGTTTATAAGTCCAAAAACTATGGTTTATGGTAAATAACTATGGTTTATGGTAAATAACTATGGTTTATGGTAAATAACTATGGTTTATGGTAAGTATAACCATAGTTAATGGGGCTTGTAAACCAACAAACATCACTGGGGGCCACCACATTGTAGTATCTAACAATTAATCATGAGTTTATGAGTTTATGACACTTATAACTATAGTATTCATGGGGTTTGTGAACCAACTCATAACTGGGGGGCACCACACTGTAGATATATGTTAATATGATATCACTCCCTTGGGTTTATGTGATATCACTATATTGTTAACATGATGTTACTATCTTGTTTTAATAAATGACAGTCATATGACTATGTACACATTTAATTATCACATGATTATTGTCAACATGATATCACCATCATTATAGTTATATATTTCATTTTTATATCAATATTGTTATTGCTTGTGGTTTTATAACTCTCATTAAGTATGGATAGATGACATATCTACCATAGACCATGCAAGTCATTGAAGTTATATTCACCAACTCGGCTGTGTATGACACCACCTTGTATGGATTTTGCCGGCAAAGGTGAACATTAACAGTGGAAAATCGGAAATTCCCCGAATTCAATGGTGGTTTTGTTCGCGAAAAAAACTTTTTTTGGGGTGGTTCCTTAAGCACATCCAAGTAACTAAGTATATTATGTGGTAAGCCAAATAAAAGACCACCCTATGAACCCATTTTAGGGGATCATTTTACATCATCACAGTCATAGGATGTCATAGGGCTATACCCATGTTCATAAACCTCAAACTCGGGGATGGTTTATTATTGGGTTTACCACAGTATGTTGTTTTACAATGTATGGATTTCACCAGCCGAGAATCAACATGAATCAACCATCAACGTCAAAAAGGGATTGATAAAACTGTAATCAACAGATGCTGCAGTGGTTCAAGAATATCATCCCCCGTTCATATCAAACATCCCCATTTTTTTCGGTCCCAGTCGTGATTTCATCCCCTACATTCCACCATGGTTTCTGGGCGGTGTTTGATATCAGGAGGATTACAAGGCCCAGACGACTGAACTTCATGGGCCACCACATGTCTAAGGGGGAGGATTTTTGCGGATGTTTTCCCTTTCCGGTGTACTGAATTTTGAAGCACTAGCGAAGATGATCCGAAATAACGTACAAAAATGGTCATAAACACCTCCACTTTGGGGATAAATTAAAACCACCCCATTTAGTGTGAAGAAGAGGGGATTATGCGTATATACCATCATGTCTGGTAAGCCATCGGCGGGGACAAACAAATTTCAGTTCACCAGAAATTTGAGGCAATTATATAGCCACTACACAATCCGAATCCATTTCTGGTATAGACCCCATATTTTTGCTTAAATCCAAATACTCCACAATATTTGTGTTGGTAAAGTCTAGATATTCCACCATTCTTGGGTAAATCCAAATATGCGCGTCTTTTGTTCGTTAAGTAATCTTAAATCAAACCATAGTGTATAAAATTTGGAAAAAACACATGACAGGATACTTGAAAAAGGTGATGAGTGGATTTTCTCACCAAAAAATAATGGTATATGTCCTCATATCTCACCAACATCCCAATTTTCCCTGGCGGCTGAGGCATCACCAGAACGGTGGAATGCCCTGCAACGGTATCAAGGAGCGCGGATGATGATCGCGATGGGAGCCAGAGATCTTGGTGGTTAACCCATCCCGAAGTGCTACTAGTCTATAGCAAACCCAAAATAGATGCCGAAAAGAGCCTGGAAATATGAAGTGCATATCATCCAAGTAACATCCTAGAACCACTTTATGGCATCTTCGTGAGGGTTGCTGTCAGTATGTTGAGAGTTGAACCCCATACGATATCTGCTTTTGGAGAGTTATGATCTTACACATACTCTCCAGAAAACCCACACGGATAATGGGAAACCCATAAAATAAGTTGTAGATCATTTTCCATGGGAACGATGGATTCTCCGTATCTATGTAAGTTTACCTCAGGGCAATTTTCCGTTTGTGGGTGCTTTTTAATGGCCATTTTGATCATTTTTGATCCCTGTGCATATCATCAGATATTTATCAGACCAAAGCTGGATGAACACCCGGACATGATGAGCATTGTGTTCTTTTACCCTCTGGTAAACATACAAAAAGCTATTGAACATGGCCCTAGAAATAGTGAGTTTTCCCATTAAACATGGTGGATCTTTCCATCGTTTTTTGTGAACGTTTACCAGGGGGTAGCCATTGAAAATGGACTTCATAAGATCTGAGGGTAGCCATAGCTATGGAAACTCACCATTTTCAATGGGTAAATCTACTATAAATCACCATTTTCAATAGCTATGTTAAATTACCAGAGGGTACCCATTTAGTTCCATGATTTTCCCAGCGAACTCCACTTCCAAGCGGCTAGGCCACTGGGATTTTGAGCGACGAACTGAGTCGCCATGTTTGATGACCCGAGAGTCGCTATGGGATGTTTAAGAAAGTTCACAAAGGTGGTTGATATAATATGGTATGGTCATAATGATATTTTTTTAATCTGATATAATCTGATATGTTAATCTTATGGTATGGTATAATCTGATATCATCTTTTATTTACCCTGGTTGATTCAAAGATTAAGGGTTTTTGTGCCCCAATATATGGTGATGTCATTTGCGAAATGTATATCAGATTATATCCCATGATATCCATTGATATCTCATCTCAATTACTGCTGGTCTTGTACCCTGTATGTTTGCTGGTGAATTCTAACCCAGGAGCAATAACCCCCCCAGGTTACAAATAGGGAGAGGTACCAAGTTTAGTAGTAATTTATCACTATTTGAGGTAATCCCCTCAAACAATTGCCATTCTTAATATTTCTTAATCTTGGGTTGACATTAATGACTAAGATCATTAGATCATCCAAACATATATCAAAGTCTGATGTTGCCATATTGTTCACCGGTGCTACTTCATCAAAATCATCCCAATATATACCCTCCAGTAAAAGAACATCGACCCTGGCAGATAGGGGTTGGAAGACTAGTTTCCACTAGAAATTGGTTATTTTCAGGGTCAAACTGTTAATTTACCGAAGGGTACATACATTTTTGCTGGTTAAATCATGCTAAATCCTCCATTGGGTACTTGCATAAATCATCCCGCCCAGGTAAGGTGTCATGAACTATTAACCATTATCAACAATTATGAACCCTTTTCAACCGTTATTAACTATGATTAATCTTGAATCCCATTCATAACAACTAAGATTAACCATTATTAACCCATTCACCATCCATCCCAGATGCTCCATGTATGGAATATGTACCTACATTTACTCCAAAAATTGCCCAAATGTAGGTAAATATTCCAGCACCATGGAGCATCTGGGTATTATTATCCATTATCAACCGTTATTCACCATCCATTCACCACTATTAACCATCATTGACCATCATTAACCATCATTAACCATCCATTATTAACCATTATTCAACCGTTATTTTCACTATGGAACAGCCGAAACCCAGGAGGAAACCCGGGAGATGGACCAGTTCTTCGGCGAAGGATGCCTCGTGGGCGATCGAGTGCGGAAACCCGGTGCGTGGTGCGGAGATTGTTTTGGGTCGGTAGAACAAAGCCCTAGTTGATGTATATCTGGTTGGTGATTTGAAACATCAATTAGATGTAGTGTTAGACACTCACATAGATATTTTGTTATCACTGTTCTTATTGCTGGTTGGTGGTTTGGAACATGAATTTTATATAATTTTATGACTTTCCATAGATTGGGAATTTCATCAGCTCAACTGACGAGCACATTGTTCAGAGGGGTGGCTCAACCACCAACCAGATATAGTGTTAGACACTCACATAGAAGATATTATGGAAACTATGTTCTTTTTGGGGAAAAAAGGAATATTTGAAGATATGTTTTTTGTTGGATATAATGATGAGATATTATGTATAATATTGTTAATCATCTATGGTTAACATGGTTTATATGGGATATAATATGTATAATATGGTTTATATGGTATATCATATGTATAATATGGTTTATATGGGATATAATTATGATATAATATGTATACTATGGTGAATCATCTATGGTTAATAGTGGGTAATGATGGTTATAAGAATATTCAAAGCCCCATACAACAATGGTATAACAACGGGTATATTCAATGGTATAACAATGGTGTAGATATAACAACATACTTAGATGGTATAACAATTGTATATTTAAACATTATATGGTTAATAGTGGTTAATGATTGTGAATAATGGATAATGATTGTTGAAAATTCTCACTTGATGGTATAACAACCCCCTAAAGTATATATATATATAGATATACCCCCCTAATAAGGCTATAATAATCCATAATACACCTTATGGATCCTCATGCGTATAGCCCAACTTTATGGGTATTCAAACCCCATATAACAATGCTATAGTCAATGGTATAGCAATGGTATATTCAGAAGATTGTGAGCCTTATTTCAGGTTACTCCGTGGTTCATCCCACTTACTAAGTAAGGTTTTAACTTTAAACCCTTGTTATAAGTGAATTGGCCCTACTTATCCCACTCACAAGACCAGGGATGTAACCCACTTAGGATTCGTGGGTAGTTCGCCACCAAGTAACATGGTATATAAAAAAACCATCAGCTGAGACATAAACAAACATAAAGCCCATAAGTTGAGATATAACATGATACAACCCCTATAACTACTAGTTACTATGGTGAAATAGCCTTATTGATTTTGTAATTGTTTCACGACCTAGTGATTGGAGATGAACTATAAAAACCATCAACCAACATGAGATCGGGGTATAGGCTTGATAGCCCAAAATGATTTTGGAAGATGTTGGCTCACACAATATGACCTTATATGGTACAGTACCTCCATTTTAGGATCCTGAAATTCCCATTGATTTTACTAATGACTATGGTATTTTTGATTTTTTTGATATTTGAGTTTCATGTTCTTTGTCCTAGTAATGAGATATGATGATGTTGCTTTATCTTGCAATATCTTGCAACATGACCTAAGTACCATCCTGGAAACCATTTTCTTTGTTTTTTGGGTCGGTATAATGGGATATATAACCACATGTCGATATTAAAAAGATAAACATATTATGATTATGGGATGTGAAATATAGCTTTATTTTCCATTCACTGGAAAAGACCATTTGTTGATCCAACTCTTCGCCTTTCTTTTTTACAGGTCGTTCGACCTGTCGACCTGTCGACCTGTCGACCTGTACTTACTTAGACTCACTAAGTATATGACCTTCAGGGTCATATATATGGTTAATGATGGTTAATTTTTGGTTAATGATGGTTAATGATGGTTATTATTATCCATAATTATGCTGTTGATGATGGTTACCCCCTGGTAAATTAACAGTTTGACCCTGAAAAGGACCAGTTTATACAGTAGTGGTTTCACTAGTCTTCCAACCCCGATGACTGGCAGGGTCTATGTAAATTTATTGGAGGCTAATTGACAGAAGTGTGATAGATTCACCCAATAAACTCAGTTAATCACCAAATACCAGATAAACTCACCTTAGATATGGTAAATGGCCCAGTCGAAATAGTGAGTTTTCCCATTAATAGCATGGTGGATCTTTCCAGTTCGCAAACTGTTAGTCATTTACCAGAGGCTATATCCCATGAAATCCCATTAAAAACCACCATTTTCCTATGGGTTTTCCATGGTTTTCCTATGGTCCTAGACCCGACCGTGGTGCCCTTGGGATCCGTTCGTTCGTTCCGTTCAACGAGGACTGTGAATGGGGCGAGTGGTCGGACTGGAGTCATTGCGGATGCGAGATCTGCGGTGAGGACCAGCGACGGGAGTTTCTGTGGTTTCCATAGTGGTTTCCATAGTGGTTTCCATAGGAAAACCATAGGAAAATGGAGGTTAGCCTCTGGTAATGACTAACAGTTTGCGAACTGGAAAATTGCCATAGAAATAGTTTAATAGTGGGATAATTGCCCGGATAATAGTGGGATAATTGTGGTTACCCACTGTTTTACTGACAGTTTGCTATTGAAACTTGCCATAGAAATAGTTGATTTGCCCATGAACAATGGTGATTTTCCATGGTTATGTAAACGTTTACCAGAGGGTATTCATTCCCAAAAAAATCTTCTTATTTTGTTTCAGTCAGGTCCCTAGGTTGCACGATTTTGAAGCAGGATACGTCTCCACCTGGACAAATCCCCATGAAAAATCCGAGCCTCGAAGTTTTCCAACGCCAACTCTACGACGTTTCGACCTCGGGCAGGACCGAAAAGCTCAGAAGGTGAAGTATCGAAAGATTGTGAAGCAGGCAAGGCAGTCGGATCATTTTTTAACCGTCTTAGGATCTTGGGAAACTCCTAAGTCATGGGGTAACCCAAGCTTTTTGAATAACAGTTAAACTGGTCATGAATAAAACTCGATATGGGAAAACCAATAGTACCCTTAGTTTTGTGTCCAGTCAATAGAGCTAATCACTAGGGTGATGATAAGTTCCCTATTTCCATTTCCACATACAAGGTGGTGCCCGATGGATTTAAAGATGATTTCATGATGATTCAATGGGAATTAACGGGATTTAGTGTGATCTAGCGAGCTAACTAGGTTTATAACTCCAATTTCACACGGGTTTATGGTAGATATACCAATACTTAATGGGAGTAGTTATAAACCAACATCTAGCTATTGACCAGTCATAGAATGTAACAAACATCCACTAAGCGATTGTTCTCTGTTGTTACTTGAAGTCGAGTCCCCGATAACCAACCATTTTTACCCGTAGGTAATCTATGGAACATGGTCTGTTTAAATGGGAGCATCATCTACAGTCTACAAAAGAGAGATTTTTCCAGCACGTTCTTTTGGTTTCCCAGAGGGTGTAACTAAAGGCCATCCTGTCTTCATCGTAAGCCGCCCAGAATGTTTACAAACTATGCACATCCTTTTGAGGATGACGGCTCTCTCAAGCCTTTTCCATCATGTTTCCATTTTTTTCCTTGGTGGTTTCAAATAGATCACTACTGTCTCTGGTTGGTGGTTTGGAACATTTTTTATTTTTCCATACATTGGGAATAGTCATCCCAACTGACTCATATTTTTCAGAGGGGTAGGTCAACCACCAACCAGGTATGTTTTTTTTCTGAAGTGGGCGGATTCTCCCCAATCAGCTAAACCAGCGAGCTGACCGCCCCAGGCTTTGGGCGCGGGCAGGCCATGCGCCGGCAACTTCAATCTGTCACGGGGCCCAGCTGACCGGGCCGAGTCACAGGGCAAGGCTTGCTATATTGAACTCAATGTATAGCAAGCCCTAAACCAGAGTGCAGTACATGAAAAAATCCTGAAATAGTGGCAATTCCCCTTTTTGAATATTTTTCTAGGGTCACTATATAATTTTCACATATTTTCATTGACTGGACAGAGAAATGATGTCATGATAAGGACATCTAAACCTTCCAAGGTATGTGCGACAAGTGACAAGTGCAGACGGTTGCGAGGACAATTCCAGGATTGGTTTGAAATGATGGTTATTGCAGTGAATTCAAGCATCTACTGTATGTAAAACTTGGGATATTTTCTGGGTGTATAAGCAATGATGGACATCTAGTTGCGTTTATTTTTCCAGATAGAACTATATCGCAGGACAACATGGAAATAACATGAAATAACTTTGAAGAACTATATCGCTTTTCGCCGATTTTCTTCGATGGTCGCCGTTTTTGCAGGCCACTGGTGGTCGCTTCAAAAAGTTGGGCATGGTCAGGGCATGGTCTTCGATGTTCCCCGAAATCCGGGTGATGATCATCATGAGACTAGTCAACTAACATAGCTACGGGGATTTTCATATCCTCTGGTAATGACTGTCACAGTTTGCTATTGAAGCCATGGCACATTTACAGTTAATGTACCCTCTGATGAACTAACATAGCAATGGAAAATGGCCATTTATAGTGGATTTTCCCATGAAAAATGGTGATTTTCCATTGCTATGTTAGTTCACTAGAGGGTACCTATTAAATCTATTACGGATGGGGACTTTCGAGTTCGCAAACTGTAAACGTTAGAGGGCAGACCGAATATTGTTTGAAACAGCCGTAAGTTACGTCTAATCTGAGGGTGTGTCTGAAAATAGGCTAAACCCCTTTTTACCCAATGGTTTTGCTGATCATTATCCCTATTAAATGGCTATTTGTTTGGGAATATACCCTATTTTCAGACAAACCCATCTAGCATCCGTAGAATTCTGGCCAGTTCGCCCTTAACTGCTGGTACCATCGTGAACTATCTTGCTCTGAAACAACTCTCTTGCTGTAAACAGCACCTTTCACAGTACGGCCATCTGGGTTTAAGCCTTGTCTAAAGAACTCACTTCTGCTTATCCAGCGACGCCATCGGACTTCTCATCCGGTAAAATTGCTGGAGATAGAACATTCTCTGTGTGACTTGAATGATGCTCTTGCGATGTTCATTTTGGGGATTTCATTTTTTCTCCAACACCTTCGTGCGACACGAGCGACAACAGGGTTCGAAGACGACGACCGCTTAGGGTTGTTTGGACTATGGTACGCGAAAGACATGCACTCAATGCGCAGCAGCAAGAAGGTTAAAATCGGGAAACACTTGGCAGCAGCTTTGCATACACCAAATGCTTTCCCTTCAAAATGCAAGCACGCCGAGAGCAGGATGGCAAGCACAGCATTGGGATTTCTTCAAAAGGGGAATCCCCAAAACCATAGGTTTCAATACTGAAATGGTTTGATTTTGGATGATTTGGGGTAACATGTTGGGGATTGTCAATGTTTGTTTGAATTATATTTTGTTAGACTGTTAGACCATAGAGACCGAAGATACACGAATTTCTTCTCCGCTTTCATCATTTTTCATCCCCTATCATCCATTGCAAAGTAAGGTTCCAAGCACCTGGAGACACTGCTGTTGGTATCACTGGAGAATGCTGCACAACTACTGTCTCAAAATTCACCGCCCTAAATCCGATGGTTTATCTCGGCATTTTTGATCCTTTTTTAGCCTCTGGTAATTTAACGTAGCTATTGGAAATGGCCATAGAACTAGTGGATTTACCCAGCTATAAAATGGTGATTTGCCAGTTCGCTATGTTAGTTTATCAGAGGGTAACCTATGATCATGTTGAGAATTTTGGTATCCGTCATTTTGAGATAGACCGAACAAGTCGCAAATGAAGCCAGCAACCGAGGACTGAACCTTGTGGAGCAGAAGAAAAACCACAGGATTGTAGGTGCTGAAGCATGGGACGTGGCTGTGTTGGAAGGTTTTTCCATCAACCGAGTCATCGATAGAATCCTTGTCAAATGGGGGTTTCCTGTATACATGGGTATCCCAAATCATCCAAGTCATGGATTTCCATGACTTTCTGGTTGGTGGTTTGGAACATGAATTTTATGACTTTCCATATATTGGGAATAGTCATCCCAACTGACTAATATTTTTCAGAGGGGTTGAAACCACCAACCAGATTAGTATTGAAACAACCATTGTTTGGGGTACCCTCTCGAGGAAACCTCCAAATGCAAATGTTGCTGAATTTGCATTGTCAATTTCTTTCGAGCCCGTAAGTTCAAAAGGTTGCCGAGACATGGCCTTGTGGTGCCCCAGCAACATGGGCAAGATATGAATACCCTCAGTTAGATGGTTATTTCATCTTATTTCTCTGTATACATGTATATACTCACTGCTCTTTTAACAGTTTGCTATGGACAATTAAAACTTTATTAGAATAGTAAATCATCATAAATCATCGAACTAAGTCTATAAATGGGCCATCTATACCAGTTCGCAAACTCTTACTGTACATATTTAAGATCAGTAAATCATCATAAATCAATACACATATACATATAATCTATAAATGGGCCATCTATACCAGTTCGCAAACCGGGAAATATTTTTACGAACGGTAAATAATCATACATATCACATATCATAAATCATCATAAATCAATACAGATCATCTATAAATGGGCCATCTATAGCTATGGTAAATAACCAGAGGGGAATTTATTCACCATTACATCATATTACATTAGCATTTTCCCTACTAATATATATATATACTTTACTTGGTGGCTCATCCCACTTACTAAGTGGGTTATATCCCTGGGTTATAAGTGGGATAAGTAAGGTTAACCCACTGAAAGAACTAGGGTTATAACCTACTAAGTGGGATGAGCCACCAAGTAGGTATCCTTGAAGAAATAGACCCCATAGGCCTCCTTGTCGATGAAGGAAACATTCTATAGGTTGGTTTATAAACCCCATGAATACTAGTTCGTTATTTGCGTATACTAAACCATAGTTATTGGAGTTATGTTCACCACCTTACCCTCTGGTAAATTAACATAACTATGGAAAGATCCACCATTTTTCAATGGGAAAATCCACTATTTCGCCATTTTCAATAGCTATGTTAGTCATTACCAGAGGGTATCGTAAACGGGGGCCCACATTAGTTACGCAACCTGTTGAAGCATCTCACGGCAGGCTCAGCGACTGGGGGGAATGGCCTGGAGACTCAGATAGCGTAGCGTGACATGTCTGGTGACAGGTGGCAGTGAGTCTGGTCCGTTAAACTAACGTAGATAGCTGGGGAATTCGTAGGAAAAGTAGGGGAAACATCCCATCGAAATGGGGGAAAAATAGCTGGGTTTATAGCTGTAACTTAAGTAGGTTCATGATTTTCTTCGCCTATCAATGGAGGTTTTAGTGGGAAAATCATCTACGCAGCAAGAATAAGTTTGCTTTTTTAATGGGAAAATCATCTACAAATGTGGGATATTTTTTCTATAGTCTTGGACTTGCTGAGTCAATTAGGCGTGGGAATTCCCTATGGGAAATCCACGACAGAAATGGTGAATATATAGGGAATATGTAGGGAATATGTTTCTATTTTCTGGGACCCCTTAGGCAAATCCAAGTGGGTGTATAGTGATCTTTGTTCCTCACAAAAATCAGAAAAGAAGGGAACATCGATTGGGTAATGTCCGTGATGAGACTAAGCTCTGGTTGATTACCGACATCATTGGTTATCCCGGAATCAACAGCCCAGAGGTTCAGCAAAATCCGGGCTTGGCATAAAAAGGTGTTTTCCTCCAAATTGGAAAACAAGTGGACTAAGTGGACAATGAACTCAGCTGAAAAGTGAATTCTTTCTTACGGCTATCTAAGATGGGCCATAAACCATACCCTCTGGTAATTTAACATAGCTATTGAACATGGCCCATAGAAAGTTCGTTGATTTACCGTTTTTAAAGATTGTGATTTTCCAGTTCGCTATGTCAACCATTATTATCCATTATTCACCATCATGAAAACCACTATTAACCACTATCAACTATGGAAAATCACCATGTTATAGCTGGCTAAATCCACTATAAATCGCCATTTTCAATAGCATTTTATGTAAGTTGGTTTATCACTTCCGATGGCATGCCAAGTTGGATGAAAACACACGAGGAAGGCTACTGGGCGAATCCAAAAGGTTGTAAAAAGCGTTGGTGAGGTCAGTTAATGTAGCACTTCATGCTACCATGTTCCCATTAAAAATCCTTAAGATCAAAAAAAGTGTGTTTTTTTTTGGGGACTAGCTGACTACACCATTTTCGGACAGAGCCGTAGCATATTTAGTAGCTCAAAACCTTCTTGATTTTGCTAAAGCTATGGCTAAAACAAGGTCACAAACCATCCCCCTCCCCAAAAAATACATCTACAATCATATACCCTCTGGTTATTTTTCACATAGCCATTGAACGATCCACCCATTTTTAAGAACGGTAAACCATCTATAAATGGACATACATGTATATATAGGCTATAGATGGTATACATCAACCATTCCCAGTCATGGACCAGGACACGATGCAGTGCGACCTGCAACGGCGGTGTGCGTGGGTCCATGCCACTTGGCTTTCCATGGCTTTCCACGGAAGTGGAACTTCCGGGAAGGGTTTTGAGGGAGATATAACTATAGCAACTAGAGTTCATGGGATATAAAATATATATATATATAACTATAGTTTATGGGGAATGATGAGATATTCGGAGATATAATTATAGTTGATGGGAGATATAATTATATAACTATAGTTGACGGTGGAGGATATGTATTATATATAATATAGATGTAACTGATAATTATAGTTGATGGGGATCTCGTAACAAATTCGCGAAGCGGTATCCGTTAGGTGTCGTTTCTTTTCTGTGCAAGGTGGGGCCCCGTTTTGGATAGCGTTCAGTTGCCTGCTGGGTCACTAGGTGAACGATGGCTTATGGTAGACGCAACGAACTAGTTAATGGGGTTCTTATAACTTTGGGTGGCCCAGCTGTTCTAATTTGGATGATTTAACTCCATTCCATTTAACTTTGCTTAAACAAGTTATATAACATGGTCAGGTGTGTGTATCTATAGATCTTGTGAACAAGTTATTCCCTACAATGTGGTGCCCCCCGAGATATAAGTTGGTTTATTAACCCCATGAATTCTATAGTTAGTTGCGTATAATAAACCATAGTTATTGGAGTTATGTTCACCAACTTAGCTATCGTAAACGGGGGCCCCACATTGTATTCGTATTTTCTGTGTTTCTGATATTTTTTCAGAAAGTCGTTGCTGTTTGAAGGTGGTTTCAACCAATTTGGGGCTGGGAAATTCCCACCATATGATTTTGGGATCCCAAAATTCAACATCATGCATCAATTATGCTATATATATAATATATTTATTTATACATATTGTGTTGAAATATATTGAAATCCATGGCTCAAGGATGTTTAAATCATTTAAATCCATAAAAACACATCGGCACAAATCCATTATAACATCCATATGAATCCACAAAAAAAACATGATACAATCCATTGAAATCCAGGGAGTAGCCCTTCCAGTGTTTTTTTTTTGGTTTCTCCAAAGTCTTCCCTCAGGCGACGCGTGATGAGAGAAGCGGATTACGGTGGCGCGGCCTGCGAAGCATCATTGAGGACGTGGTGCGAAGTGGCGAAATGGGATGAAGAAAACTTGGAAACATCTTGACTAACCTCCGGAAATCAAACGTGGTAATGGAAAATCCTCATGTTTTTCCCCCCAACAAGGCGGTGCCCCCTACTTGGAGGATCATCCCACTTCGCAACTGGTGAGTTAATATAGTTATAGCCCATTTGTATATCGGATTATTACAATGTGGGGCCGCAAACGATAGCTAAGTTGGTGAACATAGCTCCAATAACGATGGCTTATGATACGCAAATAACGAACTAGTATTCATGGGGTTTACAACCCAATTTATAGCTGGGGAGGCCCACATTGTAATGGATAAATATAAAATAGATAAAATAGGACATTGATGGATATTGAGATTTGATAGTCAAATAGAATTATATTATATGTGGTTAACGGATGTTTGCGGTAATACAATTAATGGGAGATTTTATGTTTTTATTTTTTTGGCGGGATATAGTAAAATACAATGGCAATATGGTAGGATATGATGGAATATGATGGGATATGATGGGATATGATGGGATATGATGGGATATGATGGGATATGATGGGATATGATGGGATATACATCTATCTATAGTTATTTTCACTTGTTTTCGATAGCTAAGTTGGCTTAGTTCACTCGGGGAATTGTAGGGTGTACTGGAGATAGAACTACATTACATTTAGTTATATATAGTTTATGGGGGATTATCTAGTAACAGCTGCAAGGTAATTAATGAACTAATGAATTATTGACCTCACGTCGTGACGTCACGTCGTGACGTCACTGGAATATTTTTCGAGGATTCGGGGAATCAAAGCCTGCCGTAACAGCGATAAAATTTCAGCTTAGTGAATCGTCATAATTCAGCCGGATCGATTAATAGTGGTTAATAGTGGTTAATAGTGGTAAATAGTGGTTAATAATGGATAATAATGGTTATAATACTGGTTCATGATGGTTACCCTCTGGTAAACGTTTACCAAAAAACTATGGAACATCACCATGTTTAATGGGTAAATCAACTATTTCTATGGACCATTTTCCAGTTCCCAAAGTGTCAAATTACCAGAGGCTAGTTGGAAGAACTGTAGTCGCCCTTTAAAAAGTTGGACATTTGGAAAATATGGAGGAAATATCGCCGGACCTCTGGAAACAAGTTATCTTTTGGGGGGTTGCTATAACCCATAGGATCCATGGTGCTGCTATATATATGGTGTGCCATGGATCCCATCAATATACCCCAGTCATGTTAGCATTTTTCTACCAGCACCATGGATCCGTCATGGGTAATGATATAAGCACTACCAAATGGAACATTAATTATGGCTTAAGTTGAGGAAATTTCTCTGGAGAATTTGGCGATGAAACCATTCTATGGTAAATGGTACAATGGGATTGTTATGATTGATGGATATTAATGATAATGGGATGCAGAACCAACGATTGATCATACGATATTTGGGTGTGTCTGAAAATCGGGATGCCCATAAAGTGGCGGCTTTAAATGGGAAACATGATGACATGATTATGAACTGTGAGATTTTGGAGTACCCCGGGATACCCCGGGTTTCTCCTTATCAAGACTGACCACTCCACACTCTACACTCCAGATATTCAGGAACCACCCCATGTTTCTTCATTTTCTCATCTGAATCATTGACCAACCATTGACCAACTTTACCATCCCCAGATGCTCTATGGTGCTGGAATAATGACCTACACTCCAAGAATTGCCCAGTTTTGTAGGTAAATATTCCATACATGGACTGGTTGGTGGTTTGGAACATTGTTTTTTTGTCCATTTATTGGAAAGAATGATCCCAACTGACGAACTCCATCATTTTTCAGAGGGCTAGGGCTCAACCACCAACCAGTGGAGCATCGATCCACTGTTCTCCGCGAACTTCGCCGGACGTCACGGCCGTTCGCCAGGAAAACCGAGGCTTGCGGCACTCGGTCCTGTGATCATCACGCGGACTGTGTCATTGGTGCGTCGGGCTTCCCGGGAAACCCGGTGGCGTCGCCAGATGTGCCAGCAGATCATCCCGGTTATTGCGCCCGGATATACATCATTTATACATAGATATACATAAATTATATAAATATGTTTATATAGGATATACAATATATATATAATATATTTATGTGTATGAAAAAAGTGTATATATATAATGTATAGAAATTTATTTATTCCACTTAATCGCAGTATATCTCAGTTATAAGAGGACTAACCCTACACTTACCCTTCTTTAAGTGGGGGTCCTTAATAAACGGGTCTGCAGATCGGTCGACCATGGGGACCAACCCCTTTCCTGCGAGGTGGGGAGCTTGGCGTGGCTGCGAGATACCAGGCGCGTATGGAAAGATAGATTGAACCATGTATACATATATATATATATATATATACATATATACAATGTGGGCCCCCCTAGATAGCTAAGTTGGTGAACATAAGTCCAATAACTATGGTTAATTATACGCAAATAACTACAGTTAATGGGGTTTATAAACCAACTTGTAACTGGGGGGCACCACATATATACATATATACATAGGTATATATGTAGACATATATGTATATATCTATACATGTCACCTACTATGGAACATGGTTCATATGACCATGAACAATGCTGGATTATCTGGGATTTTCATGGGGTTTAATCAACAAGATGGTGCCCCCCCCAAGTGATGTTTGTTGGTTTATAGGTCCCACGAACTATATACAGTAGTTGTCAATAGTTCTAAGTTTACCAACTTAGCTAACAAACTGCCTCACCACCTTACAAAAAGAATGTGTCCATTTTGTTTTTTTGTGATTGTAACTTTGGACCCCACAGATGGCCATATCCCATTCGCCAACTTTCGCTTCCTGTCGGACAAGCACTCAGAAGTTGAGGGCTCAAAATCGACAAAAACATTGAAATCTCTGGAGCTTGGATAATGTGGGTAAAACAATGCCATGTTTACCACCCATGACTGAGAATGGGGGCAACATACCACGCATAAAAATGGTGACGACTGGGGAATGGTTTATGATTGTTTTACCCATATTAACAGATATGATTTGAATAGAATAGTTATTGTTATTGTTATCATTTTTATTTATGTCATTATATATTTTTTAAAATTAATACCCTCTGGTAATTTAACATAGCTATTGAAAATGACCATAGAAATAGTGGATTTTCCCATTAAAAATGATGATTTTCCATAGTTATGTAAACGTTTACCAGAGGGTAAGATTTTCCATGTTATATCAATATTGATCATCATTTTTATCATTATTTATGCCATATAATATTGATATATCATTTTTATCTCTAATTAGTGATTTATTGTTCAAAGATATTGCTGCCAGGGACGGTGCAGATGACCAGACAGCGGCAAATTGAGACCTACGCCAAGGCTCGTGGCAGATCGTGGCAGTGGCAGTTCTGTTGGGTTCCAGGTAAATCAGCTATTTCTATGGCCATGCCACGAAACTTATTGCAAACAGTGGTCTATGGCCATAGAAATAGTTGATTTACCTATTAGAATAGTGGTTAATAGTGAATTTACCTATTGTTTGATGATTAATAGTGGTTAATAGTGGTTTTCATGATGGTGAATAATGGATAATAATGGTTATAATAATGGTTATATAATGATGGTTACCCTCTGCTAAACGTTTACAAAAAACGAACTGGAACATCACCATGTTTAATGGGAAATCAACGAACTAAATGTGCCATTTTTTATATATTAAATTACCAGAGGGTAATATCCAGCAATCATGACTATCATGATATTATAGTGGCTGGAGATTCCATTATCAATCATAATTATCATGATAACCATTATCAATCATAACTATCATGATAAAATCCCATTATCATTAATATCTATCAATCATGACTATCCCATTGTAGCATTTACCATAGAATGGTTTCATCCCCAAACTCTCCGGAGAAAAATCCTCAACTTCAGCCATACTGTGGATGCTTTGGAAAGCCTACATCACCCTACGGATGGCTGATCCCCCCTAAATCATATGGAAAATAATGGGATGTTTACCACCTATCAACTGGTGCAGGACTTATTATATATTATTTTTCCATCCACTGTATTTAATGGTAAACATGGGAAGAAACCAGCAAATTTTATGGACAACTTGGAAGAAATCCAGTCAAATCGTGATATAATAGCGATATACAGTGATACAATGGGGATATAATGGGGAGATACAGCAAACTACAAATCTGAGAATCCTGCTGGATGGTCATATAGTTTCATACGTTACTCTTCTGCCATAATTCAGATTTGTTTTTCAAACTAGCTCAAGACATGCAGGGCAAAGATGGGCATTGAAATCCAGTTTCTAGGGCGCCCATCTTTGACCCATCATGTTCTTTTTCTGGAAAGTGGGACAGCCAGACATAGTGATGACTCTCTGGTAAACTAACATATATCTATGGAAAATCACCATTTTGTATAGATAAACCATAAACCAACTATGAATCACCCATTTTCCAGTTCGCAAACTCTTAGGAAATACCAGAGGCTAGCTGGGAAGATCCCCGGTGGGACCATGGGATATTAATCGAACACATGGGATTCAGCTAGCAGGAACTTCATATGTGTTACACTAGCTGCAGGAACTTAGACAGCTCATTGCTGTCTGCTAGTGTAACACATATGAAGTTCAATGTCACATTGAGCTAGCCAGCAGGAACTTAATTATGTTCTCATTGCTGTCTGTATTTCTATTTATCAAATCGAATCAGGTCCTTTTCTGATTCTCATGTCAGTTTGTGTGTGTGTCTTTAGTTGCGGGAAACCGTCCATTGTTGATAGGCAAGATTCATCTTTCCCCCTGAAACTCGCATACTTCATCATATTTCTATGTTGACACTTCCTTTTTCATCTTTGTAGCTTTCCTGATTTTGTCAGATTTTTACATCACCCTTGTCAGTTTCTCGGATTTCTTGCCCATAGGATCCATGGTGCTGCTATATATGATAACATGGATCCCATCAATATACCCCAGTCATGTTAGCATCTTTCTACCAGCACCATGGATCCGTCATGGGTTGTGGCTTGCAGCTTGTACCCGTAGCCGCCGTAGCCGCCGTGACGCCCGCAGGGTGATGGAGAAGCCTGTGACGCGCCGCTCACCGAAACCGCGGGCTGCGAAAACCGAGACGACTTGAAGTGGTGCCGAAGCCCAGGATCATCCCAAGGATCGAGGAAATCATAGCTGTCATAGCTTGTAGAAATAGTTTTTCTAAATGGGTTATATATATATAATATATATATGGTTATCTAAAAATGGGTTATATAGGAAATAGTTAATATAGGAAAAAATGGGTTATATATATATATGGTTATATTAAATATATCCATGTTATAACATGTCATGAATATTTCATAAACATTTCATACTGATGGGTAATGTGAACTAATTACAGTTACTGCTGATCGTTCACGGAACGTCGCCATTTACCAGTTACGTTCCATGGTTAAATCATGCACATCAATACCCAGAGGATCCATGGTGCTGCTATATATGATGTGCCATGGATCCCATCAATATACCCTGTGATGTTAGCATTTTTCTACCGGCACCAGCCGGATCCTAATTATGGGATATCATGAAAAATCAGGTTACCATCAGCATTTTCCCAAGTTGTTCAACCCGTTTTTGATGGATCTGAACATGTTTCCCCTAGGTGAAACGGTCCACCAACGCCTCGAACGCCTCGAACGCCAGGTGTGACATCTCCTTCTGGAGTCCCTGGAGCACCTGCCCTGTGGCCTGTGGAGGGGGCCAACAGATGCGCGCACGGAAGCCCTGTCGGAGAAGGGGGAAGGATCGCACGGAGGCATTGAACTATGGTTTAATGGTAGTTATAACTATGGTTACCCTCTGGTAAACTAATATAACCATGGAAAATCACCATTGTTAATGGGAAAACTCACTATAAATGGCCATTTTCAATAGCTATGTTAGTTTACCAGAGGGTATTGAGGTTTATAGTAATTTATAAACCTACTTACTAAGTGGCTTAGTTCACTAACTTTGCAACAGAATTCAATGATATTCAATCATGGTTTTCCCATGGTTTTCGCATGTTCATACGGGTTTTAACACTAGTTCATACGGGAGAAGAAGGCAACATATGAGGATAGAACTGAACCCCCCTGTTGGTTGATAATTGAATTGGGGGTGGTTCCGAACCAATAGATTGCAGATGATCAGAATCCATAGGGAAATAATGGTTGGTTGGTGGTGTTTGGTTTGGTTTCCATGGCTGGATTATGACTTTCCAGTTAAACAGTTGGGAATGGAATGGAAAATCATCCCAACTGACGAACTCACTCCATGATTTTTCAGAGGGGTAGGGCGAAAAACCACCAACCAGTCATGGGAAATCCGGTTCTCCACATGTCATCGCGACACGTCGGGATCGCTGAACTTCAACTAACTGTGGAAGGAAACGCAAATTTGAAGGCAACCAACGAAGATTGAGATCTTCGTTTGGCAAAACAGAACTTGTCAAATCAAAAGCTTTGTCAAGGGTAGGTTAACATGGCTTATCTTCAGCCATTTTTCGGAGGAACATATCATATCCAGCTATGTGAAAAGGAACTTTAAGCTACATATTTGGCCATCTCAGGCCATCGCCATATGGTTTCATGGGGGATCCCCAGTCATCATCGACTTGGAGAACTTGACAGTCAACCACCATGACTGGAGGTGTCTCCATGACGAATGGTCCAGTGTTGGATGGTTGATTGCCCCTCCTTAAGCTTTGAGAACTTCAATGTTCGCGAGATCTCAACCCATGTGAGATCTAGACTCTCCGTCGACCTATGTGGATGGATCTGGATCAAATTCATCACCATGTCACCACATGGTACAGCTATGGTACAGCTATGCCCAAATTCACATCAATTCACCCCATTAAATTATAAATACTAAATGAAGTTCTACAGACATCTACAGATAGTTATATCTCCTTAAATGGGTCATTAACAGCATTTAACATATCCCATAGGATCCATGTATGGTATATATGCTAACATTTGGGGTATATTCATGGTAAATGTTACCATATATAGCAGCACCATGGATCCTATGGGTATCTATTAAAGGTCATTCTAGTTCAACTATCCCCTTAAAAAATTGCGGGACTCCGCTCACCACTTGGTGTGTAAAATGGCCATGATGGAATTAACACGCCGAGGTTCGGCATTTGCGGAGCCAATCCAACTGCTTTCCGTCCGGTCCCCTGTGCTTCGAGAACGACCAAGAAATCACCGCCCTGGTTTTTGTTGGGGTTAGCCGGTTAGCCCTGATGTTTCTGCTATTTCTTATGGTTTCTTATGGTTTCTGATGGTTCTGATTTTGGTTCTGATTTTCCTAGCAGTTTCTACATCATTCTGAACAATTTGCAGGATTTCAAAGCCACATCCTTTTTGCTCGTGAACTTTTTGCCGTCCTTGGAGCCTTGACTTCTGAGGATGGCGCGGGAGGATCTGAAAGAAATCCGCGGCTGCAACACGGACTCCTGTAACTTTAATGGTGGTCGACTGCCTCAGTTTTTGAAAGGGTCAAACAGTCAAACCTGGTCGGAGGTGATGACGGGGATGATTTCGTGATACCGTATGAAAACATGTATAAAATACACTTTGGTAATTTAACATAACTATTGAACATCACCATTTTTAATGGGTAAATCAACTGTTTCTATGGCCATTCTCAATAGCTGTGTTAGTTTACCAGGCCGGGTAACGATGAAGATTATCATGACTTTTCATCACCATGGGATACGCCCTTGATGATATCGGGATTATTATCCAATATGGGATAGATGGGATGATTTGTTGGATTGGATCTCGAGAATTCGACCATGGTGAGTTCACTCGATTTTGTCGCATCAGGGTGTCGGGGATGAACTACCAATCATGGGGATACGTGTTGGGGATAGAATGCCTCTGTTGATTGGTTCTTATAGATTTTTTGTGGGTTAAGTCATAGGGGTTCCATAAATAATTGGGGATACCCCAAAATCATCATCCATTTATAGATGGATTTTCCCTGAAATGATTCCCATCCTAAGCTCGCTTGGGGATTTCCCCTATGACTACAGAAACCAGCATCAGTCAGCACCTGTCCCTGGTGATCCTGGGGATATGGCAATTTGGGGGTATGTGAAACATAAAACAAAACAGGAGGATGGGGATGAAAAGCCACGAATCCGTCGGTTGTGTTAGTTCACCCTGCTTTTGTACGTGGGAATACGTGGGATGTTTGTTTTACCCTCTGGTAAACTAACATAACTATAGAAAATCACCATTTTTAATGGGAAAATCCACTATGAATGGCCATTTTCAATAGCTATTTTGACATAACCAGAGGGTAAGTTTTTTTCCACAGAAATTATCTCGGGTGAACTAACCAATACGATTCGTGGACCACCGTGTCGGATGGGATTAGCCCATCCTCCTGGCCCATCCTGGCCCATCGTTCCAGTCAGGGGATGTCAGGCTCCTAAACCTGAGCTACAGATCTATTGGAGGATATTGGAGGTATCTACAATATATTTTTGGCCTAAATTTAAGGCCTAAATTTAAGGGATATACCATGATATATTACCACCCAAAAGAAAATGGTTCCGGTCATCCCATGACCAGATATGACCAGGTTGCGAAATGTCGTCCTGGTCTGCTTGGGGCCAATGCTCACAAGACTGTGGCATCGGTGTTCGGGGCCCTGGGATGCCCTGGGGCCCTGGGATGCCCTGGGGCCCTGGGGGCGGGTGAAATCCTGGTGAAATCCTGCGGCGGCTTTTTTCTCACAAAAAATGGGTGCTGAACTCCCGATATTTCTTGATATTTTACCTGGAAATTACCATCTGGTTATTTAACATAGCCATGGACAGATCCACCCGTTTTTAATAGGTAAACCATCTATAAATGGGCCATCTATACCATGGCTATGTTAAATAGCCAGAGGGTATATGAATCTATTGTGTCAGATGGTAGGTGGTGAAAAGCTGAATTCTGGCAAGATTGAATGATCAACTGATCCATGAAGATCCATGAAGTTCCATGAAGCGTCCCAAATGGGATAGGAAACTGCCGCGCAATACCTACGACCACGTTAGGTCACAGTCAGAACTCGCAACATCGACAAAGCCGCTGAGAATGGAGGTACGAGCCGTGAAGGGGTCAACATCATGACCCATAGGATCCATGTATGCTATATATGGTAACATTTACCATCAATATACCCCAGTCATGTTAGCATATATACCATACGTGGATCCTATGGGTTGGGAGTTTCATGGGAGTTTTTGGCTGCGATTAAAATATGTGATTGATGAAAGGTGGGGCCCCCAAACGTTAGGACACCCAGAACTTCAAAGGACACCAGAAACTCACCCAGTCACAACGCCTAGGTTTAACCTAGCCTTTGTGAAGCTGGGCAATTTTGATGAAATTACAACTTATTAATACTTATTATATATATGATAAATGTGAAAAGGCCGTGAAAAGGTAGTGAAAAGGCCGTGAAAAGCCCGTAATTTCCTGTAATTTGGGTAAATTGTAGCCCTTTAGTCAAACCTGTCCTTTGTGACAACGGACTTAGTAAACCTATCCTTTGGAAGCATTGGGTAAGTTGTTTTGTAGACCCCATGAAAAAAAATACACCACCGGAGACCCCAAACAGTGGGTGTATTCAGAAAGTGTTTTGAGGAGCAAGGTCAAACACATGAAATAGCAGTCACAGGAAGCGTGAAAATGTCTGCAATAAGTGCCGGAGACCTCTTCACGTTTTCTTCCGGTTTCGCTTGCTTTGTCGCAACGCTAGATGCCGAAGAACGATGAAGAACACATCCAATAGGGGTGCAAGTATTTGGATCTAAACACTCGATTCAAGCACACACCATCCAACAAAGGAAACAAGAAGCAAGACAAGCTGGGAGACAAGCTGGGAGACAAGCTGGGAGACAAGATGGGAGACAAGTTGGGAGACAAGCTGGGGGACAAGCTGAGACAAGGGGAGACAAGACCTCGGGAAGGCGGACACACCATCCAACACAGGCACACATGCGGGGAGACAATGGGAGACAATCGGAGACAGACAAGGGGAGACAAGACCTCGGTAAGGACACAATCCAACACAGACACATATGCAGGGAGACATTGGGAGACAATGGGAGACAAGGGGAAACAAGGGGAGACAAGACCTCGGGAAGGCGGACACACCATCTAACACAGGCACGCATGTGGGGAGACAATGGGAGACAACGGGAGACAAGGCAAGACAAGACAAGACCTTGGGAAGGCGGACACACCATCCAGCACAGGCACGCATGTGGGGAGACAATGGGAGACAAGAGGAGACAAGCGGACACACCATCCAACACAGGCACACTTGTGGGGAGACAATGGGAAACAATGGGAGAAAGGGAGACAAGGGGGGAGAAGACCTCGGGAAGGCGGACACACCATCCAACACCAAGGCGGACACCGTAAGAAAGCATTGAGAACCCCTAACAGCACACTGTTTGGGGAACTATACGGGTAATTGCAGTTATATTTAGTGTAAACCATACCTTAGCTATTTGCGTCAACTGAACGCTATCGTTTATGGGCCCCAGCTTGTACACCTGGAGGAACCCCAAACCATCATCCATTGGATGTTCCCAATAACCCATCCAGCGAGCGACCGGGGTACCCCTGTGACTATGGAAACCCCCAAATGGTTGTTTCCCTTCAAAAAATCTGGTTGCTTGCGGGTACCAGACCCTGGTTCTGCCCCGCGATGTCATTGGTTGGGAAGCATCAAACAGATTCAGTTCACAAAGTAGCCTTCAATTAGAGAGAAATCCCTACAGATGGAGGTTTATAGATGGGATAATCAACCATAATGATGGACTCATGGGAGTTTAAGCAACCGTTGGACTTATGTGGAGATACTTCACTACTTTAATCTTTTGCTCTGGTAAATGGTATATTCATCAGCTAAAAACTAGATATTTTTTGCCAGGTATCTAAGATTCACCATCTGGTAGACTGATTATTGCAAATTAGCCAGATACATCCGGATACTAATTGATCTAATTGAGTTCAATCAATCCCACTATTTTTCCTCGGAGTCGTTACAGTCCACTACAACCATCCCTATCAACGAACCAATGTCAGGTGTTTGGAACCTTCTCAGGCCATGTTTCGTATAAGAACACAAACTTATAAGATCAGACATAAAGAAACTTGCTTCTGTTGAACTGAAGATACCCTCTAGTAGTCAAACACATGGATGATCTACCGAGATTGGATGACATTGGGACTTCAGTTGCGTTCTACTGATAATGATCATTAGTGATATTTGGTGATACAAATATACTATCACTAATTATTTGGGTGCTATTTATCACTAATTATAGTGAGAGATAATAATTATATACTTATTTTTGTTGGGGGGTTTTCTTCCAACATTTACCAGTTTTTCTTGCAGGAAAGAGCTGCATGGCTTCTCTGAAAGAGATGAAAGACTGCGAGAATGAGCCTGGCACTGAGATTCCCGATCAAACCAAGATGAACGTTGACAGTTCATTTACCCTCTGGTAAACTAACATAGCTATTGAAAATCACCATTTTGAATAGGTAAATCAACTATAAAGGATATATTGTCAATAGCTATGTTAAATTACCAGAGGGTAAGTCAATCTCTACTGTACATACTAAATGTTCAATCACTGTACATCATACATACATATTACATACGATTTTCATGAAATGAACAATTTCCCAGTTGTGACTTTTCCAGTGAGTTCTATGGATCAATACTTTCAATACTTTCCAGGGGCATTTTCCAGGGGGATGAATCATGATGAATCCATAAATCCCAGCTGCTTGGTGGTTTGGAGCATGGCTTTTAGCATGGCTTTTATGACTTTTCAGAAACAGTTGGGAATTTCAGAGTACATCCCAACTGACGAACTCAAACTCACTCACTCCTTTCACTCCATGATTTTTCAGAGTAGGTCAACCACCAACCAGAGAATATCATAATTAACCATCATTAACCATATAATAACCATTACCATTAACAGTATATTAATCATATATTAACCACCAACCATATAGGTCAACCACCAACCAGCCAGCGATTTTGAACATCCCAGGGCTACCCCGGGACAAAAAACCCGGGGACGTCACCTCGGTTACCGGGCTGCCTAGGCCGTGTCCCATCCGCGATTGCCAGTGGGCCGCCTGGGATCACTGGAGTGTCAGGGCCCCGGATGGGATGGGATCCCTATGATTTCTCTGGGGAATTCACTATTTTTGTCACAGTTTGCTATTGAGAATCACCATTTTTCAGCATGTTTCATAGGAAAAATCACTATGAATCATACTGAATCAGCATTTGTTTAAATAAAATTTATAGGACATGCGGCACATGATCTAGAAATCATATGATTTATGATTTGTTTTTATTGGGTTTCTATGTTAAATTACTAGAGGGATCTAGAGGGTATGATATAGGGGGATCTATAATACTATAGTATAGAGATGTATGGAGATTATAGAGGGATAGAATTTGGTGTTTGTTTTTGGGATCACATATGCTTGGGCTTATCTATGAGGATTACCAAATGGGTGGTTGAATTTTGCTGTACACCCGCAGTAGATGGCAGTTTTATGCAGGAAACTGATGATCGAGCCGTTTTTGAGGTGGTGTCCCAGTGAGCTGTTCGCTAAGTTGGTCAGTGAACACAACTCCAAGAACTCATGGGAAGGTTTAGAGAAAAGATATGGGCATGGGTCAATACCTATAGATACCATTTTTGATGGGATGAACATCCATAAATCCCAGCTATTTTGATGTTCACTAGGTACCAGGGTTTTGACCCATCCCCATATATCGAACATTATCGAACTACATACCATGGGGGCTATGTTCACCAACATCCAACGTTCACATCACGATAAAGCGGCGGCACCACCTTAGCAGATGTTAATCCCGTCGTGGCTTTGTTTAGTCGGTGATTTGTCATGTTCCCAGGAAATCGACAATGACTGGGGAATCTATACTTGGTGGCTCATCCCACTTAGTAAGTAGGTTAGTTCACCCTAGTTATAAGTGGGTTAACCTTACGTACTTATCCCACTTGCAGGGATATAACTAACTTAGGATTCGTGGGTAGTTCGCCACCAAGTAGGGAATGTTTTATATATTTTTCGGGGACCAAGCGAATCGAAGCCATGCTCCCCAAGTTTGGTCGCCATTTCCATCTATTTCCGAGGCCGGGGATTGAATCAGTCAAACATCGTCAACACTTATGATGCATTATGATACCATATGGTTGGGGAACAACAAATCCATAAACACCAGCAAAAACTTAATGAGAATGGTACCACATTTTGACCCATAGCCATATATCCGTCATCCAATGTGGGGCCCAGTCATAAATTGGTTTATAAAACCCATTATAATCTATAGTTATAAGATGTTATAAGTTATATAAGTATCATAAACCAAGAAAAATCGGAGTTTTTTTTCACCAACTGAGCGATTTCATTGACGGGGGCCCACATTGTAATCGTTGACCGCCTTCAGGGCTGCTCCTGCACCTGCGGTGGGGGTCTCAAGCGCCGAGCTCGCATTGTAGAGGCGTGGGTCTCGCGGGGACATCGGAAAACTCGTTTTTTTTTTTAAACCAACTGGTTATTTCACATAGCGAACTGGAAAATCCATGATAAATGGAGGTTTATAGCTGGGAAAATCATCTGTAAATGGGCAATTTTCCATAGCGATGTTAAATAACCAGAGGGTACCAAAAAAGGATTTTTTCACGAAATGAGCTACAGCAGCTACAGCCAAAATTGACCGTAACGGAAAGTAGTATTCGAGACATCATCTTTTTTTTTGAAATCGAGCTGGGGCTTGGAAAGCGATAATAATACACTCTTCAAAAAACGATAACATTTGCTATATTCCCAAAACCTGAAAAAACGATAATACACTCTTCAAGTTCATTGATGACTTGAAGCTACTAAATATTGACCGTGGCCCCAATCAATGGGACATTGTGGGAGAAAATTATTTTGCTTATTTTACACCCGGATGATATATATGTTCGAATTGGATGGAAGAAATTACTGTTGAAGCCCCTATTTTTTGAATAAGAACAATTAATGGGGGCATAGATGTTCCCTTAAAATCCAAGAAAAACCCAACGACACAGCCTCGGCCACGGATGAAGGTGGCTCCGCGTGCTGGAGGGGCACTCTGCGAACCCTCCGACAAGCTGGAGGCGGTTGACCCAACGTCATGGGGAGAGATTACACTCCCTTAAATTAAAATGACGACCCTGTCAAACAGGGGGTTGGAAGATTACTTTCCGCCAAAACATGTCTATTTTCAGGGTCTATGTTGATTTACTGCAGGGTATAATCTGGATATAGAAACGTATGTCCATATGACATAGAAATACAGAATATAATAGCATATATTTTTACAAGGATGTTGTAGATTCTAGATTGTAGCACTGTGAACACTTGATCAAACTAACATCCTGATGTCCTGGAACACATATTTCGGCATCCAACTGTTGGGGTTGCCTAAACAATTGGACTAAGGGATGGAGAAAAATGGAGATTTTCCCAGTGGGTTTAGGTTTTGTGTACATTCTGGGTGATAACTTGTAACTGAGAAGTAAGGCAGTTGTTTTTAGATCAAGCAACCGGGAGGCCAAAGATTTCGTAGAAACCAACTTTGGACCTGGGTTTGTTTTATAGTGACACATCGTGACCGAAGCCTGGAATCATGACAGCCTTACTTATTTCAAGTTAGTGAATTCTTGTAATTTGTGCAGATCTGGTAGAGAGATGGCCGGGGGATCCCATGGGTGGCGCTGAAAAAAAACAGCAATGGGGAATTCTTGCGGTTTGGAACTATGAAATGTTGGAGGTGAAGAATCATGTGTTTTCAGGGACAATCATTGAGTTTGCAGGCAGATTTTGGTGGTGAGCAGGTTGATCCCAGAGCTTCTCCCTTTTCGGTAGGTTGGATGACCCAATGAATAGATCCAATACTCACCCACAAACTCTAGGAGTGTTTCATCAGGGGTCAAGGGAATAGATCAATATCTTACCCTCTGGTAAACTAACATAACTATGGAAAATCACCATTTATAGTGGATTTTCCCATTAAAAATGGTGATTTTCCATAGTTATGTTAGTTTACCAGAGGGTATATACCTTACATGTTCCATCAATTTTCCCAGCATCCAGTTGACATACATTAACATCATGTCCCGAGGCCTTTGAAGAACTTTCCGAATCTTTTTGGGGGTCCCATCTTCAGGGCCAGCTATGCCAGGTGGTCCCCTGCAATACTCAGCCCTGTGGTGATTGTGTGGACGGCAAATGGTCGCATTACCCAGCGGGTGAAGTGAGAGTTCTACTACATCTGGATTCTTAGAACTGATTTGTACTAGTTGTACTAGATCTGAACTTTCATAACATCTTATAACTCATTGTAGGGAAACCAATTGTGCCAACTAGTATAATGAGATGGAATAGGGGTATGTTTAATGGCTCATATGGTGTTAACCTTGTTATGTTACTCATTAGTGAAACATATTATGTCTACAATACGGTACATTAATGTACATTATATGTAATGTAATTATGTATATATATATATATTGTATATGCACATATATATATATGTATATATCTGTATATATACACTATATATATAGTGTATATATATATATATATATCTGGTTGGTGGTTTCAAACATTTTTTATTTTCCATTTCATATATGGGATATCATCCCAACCCCATTGACGAGTTTTCATATTTTTCAAGATGATTAAAACCACCAACCAGATATAGATAGATAGATACAGACATATATATATATTATTATATATAAATGCTAGATTTTCCCAGTTTCCAGCTTCCAGCTTCCGTTTGATTGCTGGTTTTCAGGATTTTAAGCTGATTGGATCCAACAAAACTGGGATTTTCCGTGGTATCACATGTTGGATGTCAGGATATCACTATAAAAACTGTACCATCTGGTTATTTAACATAGCCATGGAAAATCCCTTATATTGAAATACTAGGACCTACAATGTGGGGCCCCCGTGAAATCGAGAACGCGTTCCGTTGGGGTTCACATAAGTCCAATGTCACTATGGTTTATTATACGCAAATAACGAACTAGTATTCATGGGGTTTATAAACCAACTTATAACTGGGGGACACCACATCCCTATGGTGTTGGTTATATCCCTATTGCGATTGGTTGAAACATATTGAAAATGGACCATTTATAGATGATGTACGAAAAATGTTGATTTTCCATATAGTTATGTTATATAGATTACCAGAAGGTAAATCAAGTGAAATCCATTGAACTCTACAATATCACAAAATGCCATTGCAAAATCCCATCGTTGTTGCTTAAATCCACCATTTTGGAGTATCCCCAGTACCCTGTGGTGATTTAACCCTGTGTGATCACCATTTTCAACAGGCAAATGAAAAAGGCACATCATCCATAAATGGAGCATGATTTCCACAGCAAAGTCTTAGTCAGTCTTAGTCAGTACCGGATGTATATTCCATTATCTCAGGAAAAACAAACTACTGTATATATTATTTACTACTGAGATAATGGGATAAGAAAACACTAGATCATCTCAGAAAAAAACAACTGTTATCCTGATATTTGAGACTTATTCACATTCATAATGACAATATCTGAACTGATCTATGACCACTGTTATTTCATGTTTAGTCCTGTGAATTATCGCATGACATCTCCGCCCAAGGACCTCCTGGAGCATGTGGTCGGAATGTGGGGATGGCCCATGTTGCTGGGAGATTAAGTGAAGCTTCGCCATGATGGGGCCCACAAAGGATAGCGTTGACGCAAAATCACTAGGCGAAGTATGGTTTATGGTAGATATAACATGATATAACTATAGTCAATGTTTATGGTAGTTATAACTATAGTGAATGGATGAAAATGATTGAAAATGGGCTTTAGACACCAACTTATAACGTTCCCCACCTCGCATGACGATGGGTTTGTGTTTGCAGCTTGTGGCTTATTTAATGGGATTATCAGGGATATTTCATAGTTACCCTCTGGTTATTTAACATAGCTATGGAAATGGCCCATTTACAGATGATTTTCCCATTAAAAACTGCATTTATCATGGATTTTCCAGTTCGCTATGTTAAATAACCAGATGGTATATGACCCAGTTTCACTGTCTATGATTGGCTATGATATATCTGAATGACTTGTGTTTTGACCTCACGTGTCGTGACCTCACAACTGAATGATATGGGAAAACTTGATTCGGTGATTTTGTTTCCCCATAGCTGGCCGCAGGAAATAGCTATTTTCAGGGTGAATTACCATCTGGTTATTTAACATAGCCATGGAAAATCACCATTTTTAATAGGTAAACCATCTATATACCATCTATTTCTATGGGCCATCTATACCATGGCTATGTTAGTCATAACCAGAGGGTATTACACTTCAGCCAGATATGTGGATTTATTGACACAGGAACTAAATCTACGGGACATTATGACTTAAGAACTTAAGATTGTTTTCTGAAATCCCCAGGAATTTCAGGAGAAAGCCCAGCATATTTTATAGTGACACAACGATATGTCAGCTATGGATATGATGAGATCTTTAAAAACATGGGGAAACAGACTTTAATGGCCATTTCAGGAACCTAAATTGGAGGTACCTACCATATATAAGGCCTATGTTTCAGGCCTATGTTTCAGGGAATATTTTCATCAAATATGGTCCAAAATATGGTACGTTTACGTACCTCCATTGTAGGATCCTGAAGATCTCCCATTGACTGGATAAACAGTTTCCTAACCTTCCAGCTTTGGCATTTGGTCGACTGGTCAGACTGGGCTTAATTGGTCAAACTCTGGTGACTAATACTTAATGTTGTTAGTAACTTTATCAATATTGGCTAATTATGGAGTTTTTTTGTATTTTCAGTACTAGCACTGAATATTGATGGATTGGCTATTGGGTTTTAAAAGTGTGTTCAGTTTCGTAGCAGTGAGTATTGATGGTCATGCGGGTCATGCCATGATGAGTGATACTGATATGTTTCAAGTCGATTGATGCTTGATAGTACTGGTTAGTACGAATGGTTAATACTTATGTAATGATGAACCATCTTATTGTGTATGATTATACAATAATAACATAATATGAATTGTTGTACTTGTATTAGGTTGACAGTACTTGTGTAATGATTGTAGCTAATATGAATTGTTTTATGATGAACAATCTTATTGTGTACCACCGGAAGGAATTGGGTACCATGAATATTATATAGTCTTAATGTATCACCAGGTAATATTCCATGACTTTCAGGCTGGGGTCCACTATTGCATACCATCAATAAAAGACCCTAACATGAATAGATCCAAGTCTAAACACATATTTCTGAGGGGCTATTTGATATATCGATTGGTTGTTTTGGTTTGTTTTTTTTGCCAAATTTCGAATGATGATCCAAAATGTGCCCCCTATTTTTCAAGGGGATACCATTCACCAGTCACAGTATGCAAGAAATATGCGCGGTGCCTGGGAGATTTTCCCATTTTTGAGGGGGATGGTCATCCCCCAGTTTTTAGGGGTTTATATATATATATCCTCCAGTAAATTAACATAGACCCTGCCAGATAGGGGTTGGAAGACTAGTTTCCACTATAAATATAAATTGGTCATTTTCAGGGTCTATGTTAATTTACCAGGGGGTATATATATATATATATAGGCCTAATGTAAGGATTCCCCGTAATGGTGAGAGGACAACACACCCATATACAATGTTTTGATTATGGCCATGCATTGCGCATCCATAGATAAAACTGTCTGGAACAAACACGAGTGGTCTCTCAGAAACTGGTATGGGTGTGTCCAAACATAGAGGATGCCCTTCACAATTTCAAATCTCATTGAAAAATGATGATCACACAGCACATTTTAGGGTACAGTACCCAAACAACTCAGGCACATTGATATTTCATAGATCTCAAACCAACCCTTCATTTTTTGGACTTTCGGACTTACTATCTATTCCTGGGGGGTTGAATCCCCTATGTCTTTCCATGAAATCTGATTGCTGGCTATACAACATCTATTTTTTCATCGCAGATGGTGTTGCGACATGTTGTGACCTCGTGATGTGATGCAATCATGGTGAATGCCGCTCCGCAAGAGAGCCAGCTGCTGGCCCTGAAGGGCTTGGTGCCCACTAAAAAAGGCCTTCAAGGCCGCACTTTTCAGGTTAGTGAAACATTATAATTTACCCAGATAACTATGGAAAATGGCCATTTATAGTGGATTTTCCCATTGAACATGGTGATTTTCCAGAGTTATGTTAGTGAAACATTATAATTTACCCAGATTAGTGAAACATGATAATTTACCCAGATTGCCATTAGGGTTTGTCGCTTGACCGTACCTTTTTTTTTAACCATCCGAAGAGTGGGGCTGCCAGCTAGTTTGAAGCAAGTCAGCAGCTTGGCTCGTGGAACAATTCCAGAACCAAAAAGAAAAACAGATCAACCAACTGGACGGGTAGTTTAATCCTGTAATCTTTTGGTATCAATAGGAATATCTACTAACCAGCTAAACATTTAATTTTGCAGGGAATCTAAGATTGGCCATGAAAAGATGTACAAAATTTGTGCTCCCCGGCGGCCCCTGAGGCACCGCGACTTGCGCACCCGCCTATCGCTGGAGGTGTTAAACTGTTTTTGGGTGATCATGCCATGACTTTCACCGTGGTTATTGACATGTCTAATAATTGGTATATGATTATAATGTAAGAATGGAATTAGAATGATTTAAGAAGCCAAGTTGGTCTTGAACTCCAATTTCACTAGTGATGGTATTTTTTTCACAGTGCTATGGAAACCATGACCATGACCCATAGAAATGGATTCTCTACATCTTCAAAATTGTATTTCTCTACATATAGCTGTGTTGAATTACCAGAGGGTAATGATGGTTGTTGGGAGAAAGCACGGAACAGTTTGGGTTTCAATTCAGCTGTATGAATTGCATAGAATGAGTTACAGCTGGATAGTAACATAGACTGTAGACCCTGAGAATCACACACGACAAAAGAGGAAAGTGCTCTTCTAATCCACAAAAGGTAGCTGGATTAGGATTCCTTTGGAGGCAAGGCCGGGCAAGGATGATATGATTTGAGATTATACCCGAATTACTATCCATTTTGTGACACTCAATGCATGACAAGATATCTAGCTTTGCCATAATGCAGACTCTTGCTTAACACCTCTATTTTTTTGGCTCTTAGGAATCTTCAGAAAGATAGAAATGCGGTTTCCTACGTGTATTCGCACCCCAGTTAGCAAGTGGTTTATAACCGATAGAAATAAACCAAGCGTGAATATCCTATATATATATAATATGATTATATATATATAATATGATTATATATATATAATATGATTATATATATAATATGATTATATATATAATATGATTATATATATAATATGATTATATATATAATATGATTATATATATAATATGATTATATACATAATATGATTATATATATATAATATGATTATATATATAATATGTTTATAATATATATATATATGTATAGAAATTGTATATCATAGAATGTAAATGTATAATTCTCTTGTTTTTATATGGTAGCTACCCACAACATCGATGCCTGGGACCCTCTGGTAAACGTTTTACATAACGAACTGGAAAGATCCACCCATGTTTAATGGGTAAATACACTATTTCGACTGGGCCATTTTCAATAGCAAACTGTTAGTTTACCAGAGGGTAAATTACAATAAGTATGTAACAGTATATATATATATATATACACTAATAATACACTATGTTTATTTGAATAAGTATATACTTGTTAGAAATTGCTGGATTTCCCATATCTTCCTCGAAGTAAAGCACAATTAATCATCCGGTTTGCAAATACATATAGTTTGTCCAGGGTCAGTGATCATAATTGGATCATAGTTGTATTTTTGATTGGTGTACCATACATCGTGAGTAGCCATTTTTGATAAGGGTATATACATCTGTTGGTTAATCATCATTTTTCCTATGAAAAACTTGTCATGTTGGGGATATACCACATTTTCATATGGTCAAATCCCAAGGTAAATCCCAACCATTCATGCTCTTCTATTGATCGTACAATGTGGTGCCCCCCAGTTATAAGTTGGTTTATAAACCCCATTAACAGTAGTTATAAGTATAATAAACCATAGTTATTGGACTTATAAACCAACTTAGCTATCGTTTGGGGGCCCCACATTGTACCAATCTGCACCAGGCATCGTAGCGTGGCTGAGAGAAACAACGACTGTGGCAGCCCGGTGACTGGCTTGGAGGACTGTTGAGCGATGCGTAAATTCCCCGGCCTGGTAAACTAACAGTTTGCTATAGAAAATGGCCATAGAAATAGTGGATTTACCCATAAAAAATGGTGATTTTCCATGGTTATGTAAACGTTTACCAGAGGGTAAAGCTCATTTGATCAATGGGAGATCTTCAGGATCCAATTGATGGAGGTACGGTTTACGTACCATATTTTGGACCCTGTTTTGTGGGGAGATTCCCTGAAACATAGGCCTTATATATGGTAGGTCCATCAATTTAGGTTCCTGTTGCATGGCCATTGATTTGATGGGAAAAAATAAAGATATGATTGGGATAGAATTCAATATGAATCAGCTTATGAATATGATCATTTGATGGATGAATATATATATATATAATATATATATAATATATATATAATATATATATATATATATATTATAATATATGTATTTTGAATTTGCTGGATTCTTATGTTATTTGATGGATGGATATATGTTAATCTTGACTTTGCAGCAACATTTGCTGGATAATCTTGGATGTTCCATTGCCATGTTTGTCCAGATTCTTCAGCAATTAGTTGGGGTTTGATGGGTGTCGGGTGAGATTCACCCCCCGCAAGAAACATATGTTGGGGGATGTCTTATACCAGATTAAGGCGATGGGTTTTTTCCAAATACTATCGGTGGGTCCCCAAACGATATGTTTCAGTTGGTTTTATAACCGAATTTCATATGGGTAAAAAAAATAATCAACCATCCCCCAGTCATCACCATTTTTATAGGTGGTATGTTTACCATTCCCAGTCATGGGTGGTTTATGGCATTGTTTTACCCACATTACTATAGTTAAATCCCTCATACACATTATAAACCCCCCACCAACAATCAACCATATATCTGGGTCAATTATAATATTTGGGTAAAACCATATCCCCAATAAACCTTGTGGGGATACACCAATAAAGCTGGTTTTTTCCGTAGCTCACCTTGTCCCATTGGTCGCAGGAAGAATACGAACTCTGTGACAGCTTGGACAATTGCACTAGAGCTCGAGGCCCCAGTAGCCCAGGCCGCGGAAGGCCGCAGGTCGCGGCAGGTGTCACATGTCATGTCGAATTCTCTGGTGATTTTGGCATAGCTGGGAGCCAAAACATGTCACATAGCCATGGTATGCTATGGTAAGAGATGGGTGATTTATAGTTAATTTACTGTGATTTTCCTAAGTTATGTTAGTTCACTGGAGGGCATATGAATAGATGTTCCTCCTCCAAATATTTGGTGGCTTGTAA